TGCATCTGTCCATGATAAAAGTGCATCTATCCATGATAAAAGTGCATCTATCCATGATAAAAGTGTATCTATCCATGATAAAAGTGTATCTATCCATGATAAAAGTGCATCCATCCATGATAAAAGTGCATCTATCCATGATAAAAGTGCATCCATCATAAAAGTGCATCTGTCCATGATAAAAGTGCATCTATCCATGATAAAAGTGCATCTATCCATGATAAAAGTGCATCCATCCATGATAAAAGTGCATCCATCCATGATAAAAGTGCATCCATCCATGATAAAAGTGCATCTATCCATGATAAAAGTGCATCTATCCATGATAAAAGTGCATCCATCCATGATAAAAGTGCATCTATCCATGATAAAAGTGCATCTATCCATGATAAAAGTGCATCTATCCATGATAAAAGTGCATCTATCCATGATAAAAGTGCATCTGTCCATGATAAAAGTGCATCTGTCCATGATAAAAGTGTATCTATCCATGATAAAAGTGCATCTATCCATGATAAAAGTGCATCTATCCATGATAAAAGTGCATCTATCCATGATAAAAGTGCATCTATCCATGATAAAAGTGCATCTATCCATGATAAAAGTGCATCTATCCATGATAAAAGTGCATCTATCCATGATAAAAGTGCATCCATCATAAAAGTGCATCTGTCCATGATAAAAGTGCATCTATCCATGATAAAAGTGCATCCGTCCATGATAAAAGTGCATCCATCCATGATAAAAGTGCATCTATCCATGATAAAAGTGCATCTATCCATGATAAAAGTGCATCTATCCATGATAAAAGTGCATCCATCCATGATAAAAGTGCATCTATCCATGATAAAAGTGCATCTATCCATGATAAAAGTGTATCTATCCATGATAAAAGTGCATCTATCCATGATAAAAGTGCATCTATCCATGATAAAAGTCCATCCATCCATGATAAAAGTGCATCCATCCATGATAAAAGTGCATCTATCCATGATAAAAGTGCATCCATCCATGATAAAAGTGCATCCATCATAAAAGTGCATCTGTCCATGATAAAAGTGCATCTATCCATGATAAAAGTGCATCTATCCATGATAAAAGTGTATCTATCCATGATAAAAGTGCATCTATCCATGATAAAAGTGCATCTATCCATGATAAAAGTGCATCTATCCATGATAAAAGTGCATCCATCCATGATAAAAGTGCATCCATCCATGATAAAAGTGCATCTATCCATGATAAAAGTGCATCCATCCATGATAAAAGTGCATCCATCCATGATAAAAGTGCATCTATCCATGATAAAAGTGCATCCATCCATGATAAAAGTGCATCTATCCATGATAAAAGTGCATCTATCCATGATAAAAGTGCATCCATCCATGATAAAAGTGCATCTATCCATGATAAAAGTGCATCCATCATAAAAGTGCATCTGTCCATGATAAAAGTGCATCTATCCATGATAAAAGTGCATCTATCCATGATAAAAGTGCATCTGTCCATGATAAAAGTGCATCTATCCATGATAAAAGTGCATCTATCCATGATAAAAGTGCATCCATCCATGATAAAAGTGCATCCATCCATGATAAAAGTGCATCCATCCATGATAAAAGTGCATCCATCCATGATAAAAGTGCATCCATCCATGATAAAAGTGCATCCATCCATGATAAAAGTGCATCTATCCATGATAAAAGTGCATCTATCCATGATAAAAGTGCATCCATCCATGATAAAAGTGCATCCATCCATGATAAAAGTGCATCCATCCATGATAAAAGTGCATCTATCCATGATAAAAGTGCATCTATCCATGATAAAAGTGCATCTATCCATGATAAAAGTGCATCTGTCCATGATAAAAGTGCATCTATCCATGATAAAAGTGCATCTATCCATGATAAAAGTGTATCTATCCATGATAAAAGTGTATCTATCCATGATAAAAGTGCATCCATCCATGATAAAAGTGCATCTATCCATGATAAAAGTGCATCCATCATAAAAGTGCATCTGTCCATGATAAAAGTGCATCTATCCATGATAAAAGTGCATCTATCCATGATAAAAGTGCATCCATCCATGATAAAAGTGCATCTATCCATGATAAAAGTGCATCCATCCATGATAAAAGTGCATCCATCCATGATAAAAGTGCATCTATCCATGATAAAAGTGCATCCATCCATGATAAAAGTGCATCTATCAATGATAAAAGTGCATCTATCCATGATAAAAGTGCATCCATCCATGATAAAAGTGCATCTATCCATGATAAAAGTGCATCCATCATAAAAGTGCATCTGTCCATGATAAAAGTGCATCTATCCATGATAAAAGTGCATCTATCCATGATAAAAGTGCATCTGTCCATGATAAAAGTGCATCTATCCATGATAAAAGTGCATCCATCCATGATAAAAGTGCATCCATCCATGATAAAAGTGCATCCATCCATGATAAAAGTGCATCCATCCATGATAAAAGTGCATCCATCCATGATAAAAGTGCATCCATCCATGATAAAAGTGCATCCATCCATGATAAAAGTGCATCCATCCATGATAAAAGTGCATCCATCCATGATAAAAGTGCATCTATCCATGATAAAAGTGCATCTATCCATGATAAAAGTGCATCCATCCATGATAAAAGTGCATCCATCCATGATAAAAGTGCATCTATCCATGATAAAAGTGCATCTATCCATGATAAAAGTGCATCTATCCATGATAAAAGTGCATCTATCCATGATAAAAGTGCATCTGTCCATGATAAAAGTGCATCTATCCATGATAAAAGTGCATCTATCCATGATAAAAGTGTATCTATCCATGATAAAAGTGTATCTATCCATGATAAAAGTGCATCCATCCATGATAAAAGTGCATCTATCCATGATAAAAGTGCATCCATCATAAAAGTGCATCTGTCCATGATAAAAGTGCATCTATCCATGATAAAAGTGCATCTATCCATGATAAAAGTGCATCCATCCATGATAAAAGTGCATCTATCCATGATAAAAGTGCATCCATCCATGATAAAAGTGCATCCATCCATGATAAAAGTGCATCTATCCATGATAAAAGTGCATCCATCCATGATAAAAGTGCATCTATCCATGATAAAAGTGCATCTATCCATGATAAAAGTGCATCCATCCATGATAAAAGTGCATCTATCCATGATAAAAGTGCATCCATCATAAAAGTGCATCTGTCCATGATAAAAGTGCATCTATCCATGATAAAAGTGCATCTGTCCATGATAAAAGTGCATCTATCCATGATAAAAGTGCATCTATCCATGATAAAAGTGCATCCATCCATGATAAAAGTGCATCCATCCATGATAAAAGTGCATCCATCCATGATAAAAGTGCATCCATCCATGATAAAAGTGCATCTATCCATGATAAAAGTGCATCTATCCATGATAAAAGTGCATCCATCCATGATAAAAGTGCATCCATCCATGATAAAAGTGCATCCATCCATGATAAAAGTGCATCCATCCATGATAAAAGTGCATCTATCCATGATAAAAGTGCATCCATCCATGATAAAAGTGCATCCATCCATGATAAAAGTGCATCCATCCATGATAAAAGTGCATCTATCCATGATAAAAGTGCATCTATCCATGATAAAAGTGCATCCATCCGTGATTAAAGTGCATCCATCCATGATAAAAGTGCATCCATCCATGATAAAAGTGCATCTATCCATGATAAAAGTGCATCTATCCATGATAAAAGTGCATCTATCCATGATAAAAGTGCATCCATCCATGATAAAAGTGCATCCATCCATGATAAAAGTGCATCTATCCATGATAAAAGTGCATCTATCCATGATAAAAGTGCATCTGTCCATGATAAAAGTGCATCCATCCATGATAAAAGTGCATCCATCCATGATAAAAGTGCATCCATCCATGATAAAAGTGCATCTATCCATGATAAAAGTGCATCCATCCATGATAAAAGTGCATCCATCCATGATAAAAGTGCATCCATCCATGATAAAAGTGCATCTATCCATGATAAAAGTGCATCTATCCATGATAAAAGTGCATCCATCCGTGATTAAAGTGCTCCACACGGCTCTGGGAGTTAATAAAGGCCTTCTGAAGCGAAACCATGCGTTTGTGTAAGAAAAATATCCATATTTAAAACTTTATGAAGTAAAATAACTAGCTTCCGGCCAAACGAACATACGGATTCGACTTAAGTCTAAGCGCAACTTATGCGAGTAATGCTGCTGATATTACTCTGAGTCTACGCCATGATGCACTCGCTACTGCCGACGTCATAAGTTGCGCTTTAGGCGTAAGTAGACTGCTTATGTCCGTTTGGCCGGAAGCTAGAATTTTACTTTGTAACATGTTAAATAGGAATATTTCTCTTACACAAACTCATCGTTTTGCTTCCTTTATTAATCCCCCAGAGCCGTGTGGAGTTTGTTTATGATAGATGTATGCACTTTTTAGAGGTTCATACTGATGGTTGCAATTCACTGCCAATTATAAAGCTTGGAAGAGCCGGGACATTTTTTAATATAACTCCGATTGTATTCGTCTGAAAGAAGAAAGTCATATACACCTAGGATGGCTTGAGGGTGAGTAAATCATGGGATAATTTTCATTGTAAAGTGAACTAGCCTACTCCTTTAATGGGAACGTTAGCAACATTTGTTAGCTGGGTATTTTCTTTAAAACCCTTATTTTTTCCTGTGACGTCCTTCAGGAACAGCGTCAATAAAACAACACACGCACTTTTATTTCTTAGGTTTTTGACTAAACAGCAAACAGTAATTTGGCAGCTTCTTCTGGCCCAGAACGCTTATACAGGAAGATACTGTTTGCCTGGTGTAAAACAGCCAGTCAGTTTTATTTGTATGTGCCTTGGTGGTGGTTGCATCTGAAATAGATATTCCCACAATAATAGACCGGCATGATGTGGTTTATTTGTGTTGGTCAGTCCTTACCTCAATAGGATATGGAGCTTTCAGGTCCACTTGTACAGGTATCCAGACCCTGGCTTCTGGACTCCAGTCCACATGGTTGTTCTCAGCTAGATCAGCTCTCCACAGTTCCTGATATTGTCCAGCCTGATCCCTGGTGAAGAGGGAGAACAGATGGTCCCCGGCGTGATCCCGCTGGTACTGGAAGCTCAAGCAGCCCGACATGGGCACTGTGGTCATGGGAGACACCAGCTCGGCCACCTCCTGGAAGCTTTTAGTGTCGGTAGAGTCCACATACATGTACTGACCTGTGTAGATGAGTGAAAGGGCATGACTGACAGAACCTCGGTATGAGGAACATCCATATTTTACCGTAACAGGATGACAGACAGTGTAACAGTCGGGAAGTGGGTCTTCATGTATGACTGGCTGAAGTGTGTATGCCCTCAAACTGTACAAGATTATACGATACAACGTTAACCATTAAGATACAACATTTTGTATACATTTTTTGTTAAGATCATAAGATAAAACTTTTAAAGATAATTTTAGCGTGTATATTATACAATAAAACATAAAAAAAAAATCTAATCACATTACACTATACCATAACACTTTTCTGTACAAGATTTTTTAAATTGTATAAATTTCGTATAGCATAAATATCACAGAATAAGTATTACATTAAATACCTATAAAATGGTATGTTTTTGGTATTATATGATATATTTGTTTTAAATTATACAGGTTAGAAATTATATGCTGAAAAGCTTTCATACAATTTTCTATTGTACATGATTATAATATAAAAAAAATAATTGATTTTTATATTTGTCAAATCGTATAAGATTATATAACTTTGGATAAACTTTTTGATATGAAAAACTTTTTTGAATATACTTTTTTTGTATTGTATAAAATTATGCAACTTATAAAATATATTTTTTTGTAATTAATTGTATCATAGAACATGTATAAAATTAAATACAGATAAAATTGCATACATTTTTGGTATTGCCTATGATTACTGTATATATTTGTTTTCATTATACAGGTATATTATTATATAAATCATAAACAATGTATGATTTATACACAACATTTTTTATGCAAACGCAAAAATTGTTTATGATTTGTATAATAATAATATACATAATTTATATTAAAAAAAAGATTACAAAAAATATATAGAACATTTTCCATGTCGTCTCAGATGATACAATATAATGTTTATATATATATATATATATATATATATATATATATACACTCACCGGCCACTTTATTAGGTACCCCATGCTAGTAACGGGTTGGACCCCCTTTTTGCCTTCAGAACTGCCTCAATTCTTCGTGGCATAGATTCAACAAGGTGCTGGAAGCATTCCTCAGGGAGTTTGGTCCATATTGACATGATGGCATCACACAGTTGCCGCAGATTTGTCGGCTGCACATCCATGATGCGAATCTCCCGTTCCACCACATCCCAAAGATGCTCTATTGGGTTGAGATCTGGTGACTGTGGAGGCCATTTTAGTACAGTGAACTCATTGTCATGTTCAAGAAACCAATTTGAAATGATTAGAGCTTTGTGACATGGTGGAAGTAGCCATCAGAGGATGGGTACATGGTGGCCATAAAGGGATGGACATGGTCAGAAACAATGCTCAGGTAGGCCGTGGCATTTAAACGATGCCCAATTGGCACTAAGGGGCCTAAAGTGTGCCAGTAAAACATCCCCCACACCATTACACCACCACCACCAGCCTGCACAGTGGTAACAAGGCATGATGGTTCCATGTTCTCATTCTGTTTACGCCAAATTCTGACTCTAACATCTGAATGTCTCAACAGAAATCGAGACTCATCAGACCAGGCAACATTTTTCCAGTCTTCAACTGTTCAATTTTGGTGAGCTCTTGCAAATTGTAGCCTCTTTTTCCTATTTGTAGTGGAGATGAGTGGTACCCGGTGGAGTCTTCTGCTGTTGTAGCCCATCCGCCTCAAGGTTGTGCGTGTTGTGGCTTCACAAATGCTTTGCTGCATACCTCGGTTGTAACGAGTGGTTATTTCAGTCACTGTTGCCCTTCTATCAGCTCGAACCAGTCTGGCCATTCTCCTCTGACCTCTGGCATCAACAAGGCATTTCCGCCCACAGAACTGCCGCTCACTGGATGTTTTTTCTTTTTCGGACCATTCTCTGTAAACCCTAGAGATGGTTGTGCGTGAAAATCCCAGTAGATTAGCAGTTTCTGAAATACTCAGACCAGCCCTTCTGGCACCAACAATCATGCCACGTTCAAAGTCACTCAAATCAACTTTCTTCCCCATACTGATGCTCGGTTTGAACTGCAGGAGATTGTCTTGACCATGTCTACATGCCTAAATGCACTGAGTTGCCGCCATGTGATTGGCTGCTTAGAAATTAAGTGTTAACGAGCAGTTGGACAGGTGTACCTAATAAAGTGGCCGGTGAGTGTATACATTGAATAAGATTTAAACGCTAAATCTTTTTTCATGTCATACATGATAAAGCAGACTGACCTGTCCCATCTATCAGTGCACCGTCCTCTGATCGTCCCACACGCCAGTTCATATATCTGTTCCTCTGGTTTGTGTATCCACACAGGTGAGCTTCTTCAAAGTCACACTCTTTGGGGTCACATGACCAGAAAAAGGAGTGATTATTTTGCATTAAAATGTCAATAACTAGTTTTGAAGCCCTCTCTGCAAGCCTTTTAGGCCAATACCATATGAGCACAATGCTGACTGACATAAGAACTGAGCAACAGAAATCTGGCTTCATTTAAAAGATTTTCTTTTGCCTCAGGAATGTGCACACATGCTGGTCCCTAGAATAGCCATCAAAACATTGTTAAGAAAGAACAGCATCTTTTGTCCGTGTTTAATAGTTATTTTCATGTGGTTGGCCCTGATTTTGGCATTGCATTGTTAATGTTACAAATAAACTCAGTGAAAGGTTGCTGGGCTGATTCTAACATGCTGTTTACTGGCTTGACTTAAAAGAGCACTAACCTATACAGTATTTGTCAGAGATCTTTATCTCGTAGATGGACACGCTGCTGCCTTCTTCTTCTCCTAGTTTGCCTTCAAGGACAATCTACAAATGTGGAGCGAACGTGTCATTATTCTCACATGACAATAATACATACATCAGCAAATCTAGAGTAGGCCAGTTAATAAAAATATGTTCTTTTAGCATGTTTCGCTTATGTTCATATTAAAAACGTTATTTCTGAATGTTCTCTGAAAAAAAAAAAATCTTGGTTATGTGAACATTAAAGGTAGGGTAGGCAATTTTTTTTTATAAACACATTTTATTATACTGGTTAAAACGTATCGGTTACCTAACGTAACCTCGGTTCTCTCCAGAAGAGGGAACGAGTATTGCGTAAGCTAGCTTACGCTATGGGAAAGATGAATCTTTTCGAGATATTGAAGCCAAAAATTATCCTTAGGGTGTACTCACACTAGGCACGGTTGCCATGAACCGGGCCCGAGTACGATTGTCCCCCCTCCCCACTCCCCCTCTGGCCTGCACTCACATAGGGTTTCAGCATTCGTGCCGGAGCACGCTTACGTCATTATGGTGCGTGCGACGGTTTCGGGATAAACAAGAAGAGCGGCGCTCTCTGAACACAATGGAGTCCATCGCTCTGTTTTCTTTGTGGATAATTTTGTGTCGTTTGGTCCACAGCCCTCTCACAGCCTGTTGTTAAACAGATGCGTCGCCTTAGTGGCGCGAAAATTTTCACCTAATCGTGCTACTCGTATGATGAGGTTTGCAAGGTACCAGCTGAAGTGCAGCAAGGACTTTGCAGCTTTGATTACGGACTGTGTTGGTTTTGGAGCGTCGCAAAACCATGACGCCACGTGTCCTGTTCCATGCTCCAGCACGGTTAGCGCTCACACTGCATGCGAACCGCGCCCGAGTCCAACTGAACCGTGCTCTGGCCCACCTCTTCCAAGCGGGCCAGGGCCGGCTAATCGAGCCGCGCCCGGGCACGGTTCGGAGCACTCACACTAGTCAAACGAACTGCGCTTTGGTGGTCAAACGCACTCGGGCACGGTTCAAACTGGCTAGTGTGAGTACACCCTTAATTTTGTATTTATTGTCAACGCAGTGCAGCAGCTGCCAGACCTAGAGCGGGCTATCTAGCGAGCTCATGGGCTGCTCTGCGGCAACTGCAGCAGCCTATCAGTGAACCTGGCGTGATGTCACGCCCAATGAGAGGCGCTCGCGCCCTCATGGCATCGCAGCCCGCCAGAATGGGCGTGGCTATGTGTATATAAGCGAGGTTCAGAGGCTGTTTCCCTGTTTTTTTTATAAACACATTTTATTATACTGGTTAAAACTCTCTTTACATCCTGATAGCAATCAATAATAGAAGTGTCCTAAATATTAAAAATGTACATATACAGTATCTTCTGTGGAAGTCTCAGGACCAAAAAATGTTTGTCCAATCATTGCATTCGGTCCGACTGAAAGGATGTCCTACCTGCCTGCTAACATATGCATTTGCATACTTCCACACGGTCATCAGCGCGTTCAGTCAGGCTGTGCAGAGTTGTAGACAGACGTCAGTCACCGAGCGCCGCAAACAAACAGCAGCCGCGTTTATAGTTCCTCCTGAACCAAAACATTGAGCTTATGCTGCGTTCACGCCGTATCTTAACCGTACTTACGAGATGGCAACCCGTGACGCTGTTCACGTCCTCAGACTCGGATTTATGCGTTTCTATGTCAACGCTTTCAACGGCGAAATGAATGATGATGCTTTGCAGACTCTGCTGTGTGCGTTCATGTGTTTTGAAGGAGGTGTGGCTTTGGGGACGTTTGGATCTTATGCTTTCAAAGCTAGCTTGCTATTGCTAGCCTTTCTGAAGTCGCCTACCCTACCTTTAAGGAAACATTCAATTTGATCATTTTGCAAACATAATGGGAAAGTTACTTTTGAATGTTCTCTATAAACATTGTAAAACCAGTAAACACATTTGTTGGGTGAACATCCAAATAAAATATTTCAGAAAAAAAACGTTCCATGAACGATGTATAAATCTTTGTGCTATCGTTTTGAGAACATAATTAAAGACCAGATAACTTTAAACGGACATTCTATTAATGTTACTGGAAGTATGTTGGTTCATAACCTTTGCCAGAACGTGAGCTGAGAACATCTTCTGTTAGCTGGGTATCAACAGCTCTCACCTTAAATGTTTCTGTAGAGTTCTGGAGGTCAATGCTGGCGATGAGCCAGCTGTCAGACGGGCTTTGTGTCGTCCAGAGCACCTGATCGAAACTCTCTCCGTCTGTGCGCTTCTGCACCTGCAGGGAAGCGCCGGCTGTGACCTGATACACCATCCTGAAACAGCTCCAGTCCTGCTCATCCACATCTGGACCCAAAAGAACCGCCTTTCCCTGGTCCTCCTGGACGCGCTCCTCAACTGTGATGAAGTGTCCTGAGTGAAGCCGAAAGAAAACAACATTCATGGCAAGAGTTTGTGAGTACAGCTGAGAAAGCGAAAAAAATGTTTTTAGCAGTGACTGACCACTTATCCACCAAACTTCACCTATTGTTTCATGACTGGAAAGCTAAAACACATCCGTCAGGTGTCACATGTAGGCATGGGCTTCTATTGTCTCCACAAGCCTTACATTTCTTCTTAATTTCCTCTGCTTAAATCAAAAGCAAATGATCCAGTGGGCTTGTGGAAATGTGATTCATGCCACGTTTAAACACAACAATTCACCAATCCAATAATGTGCTGTTTCACTATCTCCAGATGCATTGAGGCCACTGCAGCCAGATGTGCCTCACTGAACACGATTTCTTCACTTTTTCTGGGCTTTCAATGCATTTCACATGTTTTTAACTTTGAAAACAATGTCAGACTCTATTTGGAATAAACTATGTGGAACACTGCTTTTCACAAGCCAAAAAGTGGTCGTAAAGGGTTAGTTCACCCAGAAAAATACAATTCTGTATGTGTGTGTGTGTGTGTGTGTGTGTGTGTCTTGGACAAGAGAAAAGGAGAATTTGTGAAGAATTTCTAACAGCTCTTTTCCACACAACACCAGTTAATAGTGACTCATGCACTATTTGCAAATCTTCCAAAGCGATTTAAAAAAAAATGTTTTACTAAATTCTTCTTTTGTGTTGGATTTTATATATATATATACACTCTAAAAAATGCTGGGTTGTTTCAACCCAACTTTGGGTCAAATATGGACAATCCCAGCCATTGGGTTACATTTTTAAATGACATTTTTAACCCAACATTTGGTTTTGTCCATTTTTGACCGAACCAACATTTTTTAGAGTGTATATGTCATGATTCTGCCATGATGTTATTGATTATTCCTAGTCTTGTGGCAGGATCATGACAGAACCAATGTTTTGTGTACAAGCGCATGGCCAATTGTTTGGCCATGTGCTTGTGTTGTCTCGTTACGTTACCCCGCCCCCTTGTTATCCTCGTCTCGTCATTATTGTCTAGTCAGTTTCACCTGTCCTTGTCATTAGTGTTACCTTTATAATCCCCTTGTGTTTGCTGTCCTGGGTCGGTTCATTGTTTGATGTAAGTGACATACGTTGTGTGCATCTAGCTGTAAGTAATCTGTTATTCAAGAAGTGTCTGTTCCTGTCATAGCTGTTAGTTATTTATCTTCTTATCTGTCAAGTCCTAGTTGTGTTGTTAGTCTTTGTTTTTGCCCACAAGTCAAGTTTTGCCCCCTCGTGGGTTTTGTTTTCTGTTTTGTTCCTCGAACCCAGAAACAGACTGAATGCACTCACACAGGGTTTATCTATCTGCATCCACATAACAGAATGAACCGACCAAAACTGAACCCAGCAGACAGTGTGTCCTCCCTGCTCAAGCGACAGTCGGAGTTCCGAAGACAATGCTGGTTGTCGGCTCCCACCAACAGTGAGAGGGGCGAGCTTCCTTTGCCTCCCCAGGGTGAGTGGATCCTGAGGAACTACGCCCAACTCTGGGATCGTTTTTCTCGGGAAGAGGTGCAGGCTCCTTCCACGAGACCTACTTCTACTGCGCTGCCAGTGATCCCGGAGGGTCGCATGTTAGCCGTCGTGACACAGGAGGACCAAGCGTCTTCCACCCTGACTCCTGGTCCACCACCCGTGTCCGTCTGCACCCGTGGAAAGCGTGGAAGACATTTGTCGTGGGAGTCAGCGTCGGAGTCGTCCTCCACGGAATCCCCCTTGCCTGCGGTGGTTTCGCCAGTACCTGCTTCGTCTCCCTCTTCGCCCCCCTTACCGGTCTCAAGCCTGGCTACGGACTCAGCTCCGCGACCCAGAAGGAAGAAGAGGAAGGGAGCCTCTTGTCCTCCATCTCTGTCTCCCCCAGAGCCCGCTACTTCAAGCGCCGTCCATGAGCCCGCTACTTCAAGCGCCGTCCATGAGCCCGCTCCAGCCAGCGCCGTCCATGAGCCCGCTCCAGCCAGCGCCGTCCATGAGCCCGCTCCAGCCAGCGCCGTCCATGAGCCCGCTCCAGCCAGCGCCGTCCATGAGCCCGCTCCAGCCAGCGCCGTACATGAGCTCGCTCCAGCAAGCGCCGTACATGAGCTCGCTCCAGCAAGCGCCGTCCCAGAATCTACTGAGAGACTTGCGGCCGATCTAGCCGCAAAAGAGGTTCTGAAATCGGTTTCTGCTCGTCAGGAGATGCCCATCTTCCTTGCTGCCAAGACCCTCTCTGATTATTTGTCTTGTCTAGCTAAAATCCTCGAAGTCCCTGTCTGTCCCGTCTTGTCCCCAGCCCCCGAGCCTGCCGCTGTGAGCGCTGCACCCGAGCCTGCCGCTGTGATCGCTGCACCCAGTCCTGCCCCTTCGCCTGCTATGTACCCCGTCAGGAGTCCCGTTTCCTCACCCTCTGTCTTTGAATCTGTTGCTGCTACCACTGAAGCAGTACCCCAGTCTGTTTTCCCGGTCTCCCCTGTCTCCACTAATTCCCGGACTGTTTCTCCGTTCGTCCCTGTCTCCACCAGCCCCCGGACTGTTTCCCCGTTTGTCCCTGTTATCACTAGTTCCCGGACTGTTTCCCCGTTTGTCCCTGTCGCCACTAGTCCCCGGACTGTTTCTCCTGTCACCACTAAGCCCCGGACTGTTTTCCCCAAGACCTCTCCTCGTGTGTCTCCGTCTAAACCTGCCCAGAGTCCTCGTCCTCAGCCCTCATCCCGTGGACCCAAGACCCCCAGTCCTCCCATCCACCCTGGACCTCCCCCCATGAACTTTGTGTTTCCTCCACCCCCTCTGCCTTGCATGTTGTTCTTGATGTTTCACCCGAACCCTGTTATTGTTTATTCATGTATGCCTTTGTTGATGTTCACCATGTTTTGTTGGTTCTTGTCCATGTCTTGTCTTGTGCTTAGTGTCCCTTTGAGGAGCGTCTGGTAGCAGCTCCTTAAAGTGGGGGTTCTGTCATGATTCTGCCATCTTATTGATTATTCCTAGTCTTGTGGCAGGATCATGACAGAACCAATGTTTTGTGTACAAGCGCATGGCCAATTGTTTGGCCATGTGCCATTGTTGTCTCGTTACGTTACCCCGCCCCCTTGTTATTCTCGTCATTATTGTCTAGTCAGTTTCACCTGTCCTTGTCATTAGTGTTCCCTTTATAATCCCCTTGTGTTTGCTGTCCTGGGTCTGTTCATTGTTTGATGTAAGTGACATACGTTGTGTGCATCTAGCTGTAAGTAATCTGTTATTCAAGAAGTGTCTGTTCCTGTCATAGCTGTTATTTATCTTCTTATCTGTCAAGTCCTAGTCGTGTTGTTAGTCTTTGTTTTTGCCCACAAGTCAAGTTTTGCCCCCTCGTGGGTTTTGTTTTCTGTTTTGTTCCTCAATAAACCCTGTGTGAGTGCATTCAGTCTGTTTCTGGGTTCATCTATCTGCATCCACATAACAGAATATTCATATATATATATATAGCTTACACATGATAGATATAGATATCACACATATTACGCAAGTGGTTACACTCTAAAAAATGCTGGGTTGTTTCAACCCAAATTTGGGTCAAATATGGACAAACCCAAAAGTTGGGTTAAAAATGTAATTTTAAATTTTAACCCAACTTCAACTTTCACTTTCAACTGTAAATTTTTTAATTCCATTTTTAACCCAACATTTGGGTTTGTCCATATTTGACCCAAATTTGGGTTGAAACAACCCAGCATTTTTTAGAGTGTAGAAAAGTGTTTGTGTTCAGGATGTTTTCATCTGGTTTTGATTTTTTTTTAGCATTTTTTAAATGTCAACATTTTTATTGTAACAAAAAACCACATATCCCCTAAAGGGCCGTGATGAAGGAAAAATATATGAAATGGGAGGAAAAATTATTTGTCAATGATTTTGTGTTCATTCGTAAAATGTTTGCGTTCCGCCAAGAAACTTTGCATTCGCTCAGAAAGCACACAATAATCTTTATGAGCAAATGCACAGTTTCTTCATTGAACGTGAATTGTTTTGCAAGAGAACGCAAAAGCATTGACATATAATTTTCCCTCTCATCTCATATATTTTTTCGTCACCATGTCCCTTTAGAGGCTAATAAACTTTTTCAAATACAATTTTAAAGGTAAAAGGTATTTTTACAGATATCATAAATTATTAATAAATAACATAAGTAACATTACAGTTGTTTGTGGGGTTGTAGGCTACCACATGACATTTTACATGGCATTTTCATAAAAAGTTTTTTAAAAAATTAAATAATTTGACCATAACTGCTTCACTGCCTTTTTAGTATATTATTTAAAATAATATTGATACTGCTAAACTACTCAATACTCACTACTCTTCTTCTGCATTATGATATCAGGACAGATGCACCACCTTTTTTTTGTCTTCTTTTTTTTTTTACTTTATGCCCTAAAATGATAAAAGTGAACATCAATTCAGAAATGAAAAAGCACGTTCATCTGCTGAAACTCACCGGACGGGTCGAGGGTCCAGCTGAGGAAGCCTGGGTCGGACATATAGTCACATATGCTGTCTCGAAAGCTACAGGAGCCTGGCAAAAGCTCTGCTCTAGCTGTCACTGAGAGGAAAGAGCACAAACACACACTTATGCATGAACAATGGTGGACATAACAACCAATCAAACCAAGTCCTCACCAATCAAGCTCAGCACGTAGAGTGAAAGCATCTTCTCTCCAACGGTTTGTCCTGCAAAGATGAACTAAGACCCGTTTCAGCAGAAGAGATCTGGACTTCTCTCTCTCATCCGGCGCTCAGATGTGATCCTTCTGTCTGGCTGCTGCTGAGAAGAGAAAGGGAGGGAAGAAGGAAGAGGGGTTCAGTAATGCTGACCAGACTCAGAGGTTCCCTTACCTCAGAACCGCTGACCGCAAACACACCTTCATATTAGATCAGATCCATATGGAGCAGACCTTTGTTTTCTTTCCTGAATGTGTGACATCTTGAAATCAGACAGTCGCTTGTAAAGTATTTCCACTATGGCACTGTGCCATCTGGAGCTCCAGAATATCTCCCGCTTCTCCTGTTATTCAGGCAAGAATCCAGTAACAACTGTGTTAGTTATGAAACATTTGTTGATGATAGGAGCACATCTGCATTGTACTTTGTCACCATGAAATCAAAATGTTTATGGAATATTGCAGTATTTATAATAAATGGTTTATCCATGCACATCATTACTTTTTTAAATTCACGTGCCTCATAATCTTTAATCAAAATAACTTCCTCTTTCGGCACCATCTCTTCTCTTCTCTGATGATGTGTTCACTGGCGTCAGGGCGGAGCAACCTGTCACTCACATGAGATCCACCAATAGCAAACCACAACCATCCAATCAATTCCCCACGGACAACATCAAGCCCCGCCCTACATTTTGTCTTGTTCGAGAAGCCGTTTCACTCGTAGGGAAAAAAAGACTATCACAACGTCCGTTCCGTGATCTTATGAGACATTATTATATATTCTGTCCGCTTGACACCAAATGAAAAAGCCTATTTTAATATATCTAAATATAATATATCTTTTAATATAAGTCACTTTTCTGGCTGCCTTTATTTCCAATGGACACTTTTTACAGACTCTAAAGATGCATTTTTTTCATATTTTCCTTTTTTTTTTAAAAAAATTTATATACATTTATAAATCTATATTTTTTGTCATATATCCTTGGCAGTATACAAACAAATGCTGTTACAAGGGTGTGTTTAATACTGAGGAAGTGATGGCACATCTGACATCTTTCTCTCCTCCGACTGCCGTTATCAATCTCTCTATTTCCCCTCTTTTGGAATGATGTGGAAATGCTATGTATTTTTTTCTTTTGCTAGTATTCTTTTTTCCTCCTTTTTCCATTCTCCATTCTTCGGAGCTCTTTTTTGTCATCATTTCAGTTTCCATGGTAACGCAGCTTTCTCTGATTGGTGGATAATGGGTAGTGTAGTTCTTGAACAGGAATTTCGCTATTAAACACAATTTAAAAAACTATATTTTTTTATCAGACTGACAAATTATGCAGAAAACCAGAGATCACTGTACAGCACAAGAAATGAGTTTGGAATAATCATAAGGGTGTGTTTCATTTAAAGTCGGCATGAAACTGAAGTTGTGATAGACTTTTCTTCCCTATTGTGACGTATATCTGAGTGAAACGGCTTCTGGAACAAGAACCAATGAAGGGCGGGGCTTGATGTTGTCCAGGGGAATTGATAGGATGGTTGTGGTTTGCTATTGGTGGATCTCATTTGAGTGACAGGTTGCTCCACCATCGTGCCAGTGAACACATCATCAGAGAAGAGATGCTGCAAGAGGGAGGGGATTATGAGGGCACATGAATTAAAAAAAATGTGCACTGAAAAATCATTCATAATAAATACTGCAATATTCCATGAAAACAAGAATTGTCCATTTTAAATTCATGTTGACTTTAACTTAGCCTGGTTAAAACCAGACCATTCTCAGTTGTAACCGAGTTATGGTCTGGCAAAGCGTCATAGACAAATCATTTCCAGAGGGGCGTCACCAACGGACGTCGCGGATAGACCTAAACCCAATCAGAGCGATGAAGGAGATGACGTATGCAGAGCGGCGGAGAAACATCTCCGAGTGTTGTTCTTTGCTCGGTTTTTAACTAAAAGGAAACGTTCAAATCGCTTAAAACAGACGCGATAGCTGATTCGAACGAGTGATGTTCGACGGCGGCATCCATCTTTGTAATGTAGGCTACAAAATCTGCTTCAAAATCCCAGCGCTGTCGTCATCGTGTAAAGCCCGCCCCAACGTTTCTGACTGGTGCCGCGATTTCGACGGATTGGAAATGGGCTTGAATGAGCTCTTTGCCATCTAAATTTGCCAGAAGTTGTCTGGGTTTTCCTAGGCTAACTTTAAGCAATACATTTTTTACTAGATATTTTTAACTCTCTTTTCTTCAAGAAGGCAGGCACATTATGAAAGCGGATTAAGGGAAAGATTCTATTGGAAAAGCTTTCATGTGATGAAGCACAACTAACATTTTACAATATATGGGGTTTATTTAACATGCAATTTTTGGGTTGTTGTGATATCACTGAATTATTGAAATTGAAATTTTCTTTTTTTTTATCGAAATATAAATAATTATTGAGTTATGTCTGAACATAAAAAAAAAAAAAAAACGTTTTAAAAAATGACATTGTACACTTAATCAGTGTTATTAGGTTATTTTTTTCCCTAATGTTTTGTTTTTAAATTCTGTGCACTTTCACTTCAGAAAAATGTTTATGTTTTTAAGATCAGTAAGAACTGAATTTGGAGCAATGTTCCTCATTCCACACACTCTTTTACAATTAGAGGGTGAAGTCACACCGTTGGGTGTTACGGGTCAAACCATAAATAATCAGAGGCTGAAGTCACACAATGCGGTCCATGGACACAGTTTGGAAACATGATAGAAATATGTAATGCCGGCAGAATGTGACAGAGCCGGAGGACGCTGCATGTCGGGCTATCTGAACTCAGCGGGATGGATGGGATTCTTGACCGCATGAAGAAGTTCCTCTGGGGAGTCCTGGGAATTAACTGAATACGCCATCACTGATTTCAGAATTGACATTTGTTTCAAATCAGGTCCGGTTTTGTGTTCCTCCCTCTGCATACACATTGTTGATACAGGAATTAATACTTCAGCAAACATGGTTTGCGTGACAAAGCCTGTGGCTGCTAACAGACAGCTGCTTTTGCACTGAGAGGTCAAGGTCGTCAAATAACGTAAATGATAAAACCAAAGTCATCTCATCTGTGCTCCACGTGTAAGCCAGAATCCTCATCTGAGAATGGTAGAAGCTGTAAAAGCAACTTAATTTGAAGGAAAATGTCAAAGCAAGCTATTTATTTAATATAAAATACTAAACAAAACAAGACAGTACCATTTACTTCAAATTTTTAGCCCTGCAGCTGGATATAAAACAATTCCTGTGTGAGTATAGGCCTATGTGTGTAACATTTCTATCCAGTATTGTTTACTAGTGCCACCTGCAGCATATTTCATTTCATAAACAGAATAAATATTTGCTGTGCAGCTACAGTAATGAAGCGAATGAGTGAATCCGTGAACTGTATCAAACATTTATTGATTTGAGGATATGTGAATGTTCCCAAAGGGTCTCGCTGGTCGGCTGCTTTCTGACATCCAGCCATTATTTATAGGATTTCCCAGAATGGCACACGCATGAAATGTACGGAGACAATTATTAAAAATATATACCGTTTTATAGAAATAAAGAATGCCTTAGTTTAGAGTTTTACGTTAATTTAAATCATTACACAAAGTGATATCATAAATAATTATAAATAAAAAATAAACATATAAATTCATATATTTTAAATAAACAGTTGAGATTTGATTCTTTCTCAGTTTATAAATAATTGTGCGATTTGCACATTCACATTTTGGACCAATGAGATTTCACTGTGGGCGGGGCTAGCTAGTGCAACCCTACTGTAATAAAAACGCAACAACAGAACACAGAACACAATTTTTTTATGTGTTTTCGCCGTTCATTATGACAACCGGTAAAACAGCAAGATTCAAACGGCAAGATTTTGAAAATGATGCATTATCGTCTCAAAAAAGCGAATTTGTGAAAACGGTGACGTTGTGCGCATGCGTATTACATGTTCAGTCTATAGGCGTGTTTCTTCAGTTTACAAAGTGACATCGCTGACTACTGGCCTGGCAGGAGAATGCAGCGTTTTTCACATGTTTTCGCGGATCCGTGGGAACGGGATCGTTTTGACCATCTATGGTTTTGACAACGTCATCTATGCGCAAAAAGCGCAAAGGAAAAACTTTTCTGTTTTTAGCTCGTGTAAATTGTCCCAAATGCTGTTTGACACGGCGGTTAAAGGGATAGTTCAGCCAAAAATGAAAATTAGCCCATGATTTACTCACCCTGAAGGTGTATATGACATTCTTCTTTCAGACGAATACAATCGGAGTTATATAAAAAAAATGTCCTGGCTCTTCCAAGCTTTATAGTGAGTCAATGTATATATTTTCTGAAGTCCATCAAAGCGCATCCATCCGTGATTAAAGTGCTCAAAACGGCTCTGCGTGGGTTAATAAAGGCCTTCTGAAGCGAAGAAAAGTAAAAATATCCATATTTAAAACTTTATCGACTAAACTAGCTTCCGGCAGACGGCCGTACACAAGTCGACTTACGCCAAAAGAGAAACCCCTGAACTTGACACACAACGTAATGATGAACGCGGTTGCCCAGCCCTGTTTGAACCGCGAGAGGCGTTCAAACAGGGCGTCCTACATCTACGCCATACATCGTCGAGTGTTAAGGCCATTGCACACTGAGTCCGAAATTTTCGTATGCTTTTTTTCGTATTCGAGAATCGGTGGCTCTGAATTGTCAAAACATCATTCAAATACCATTCAAACTGATTGCTACGGATGCGAAAAACGCAGAAAATCGAACCCGATTCGATTTTTTTTATGACGGACGAAAGTTTCGGAGGCAGTGTGCAAGCGTGATTGACATAACGTGAGGTCGTATTTATTTTTTAACGTGCGAAAATTTCGGACTCAGTGTGCAATGGCCTTTACTCTTTTCGCGTAAGTCGACTTGCGTACGGCCGTCTGCCGGAAGCTAGTTATTTTAGTCGATAAAGTTTTAAATAGGCCTATGGATATTTTTCTTACACGAACGCATCTCTTCGCTTCAGAAGGCCTTTATTAACCCCCGGAGCCGTGTGGAGCACTTTAATCACGGATGGATGCGCTTTGATGGGCTTAACAATATACCCATTGACTCATATAGCTTGGAAGAGCCGGGACATTTTTTAATATAACTCTGCTTGTATTTGTCTGAAAGAAGAATGTCATATACACCTAGGATGGCTTCAGGCCAGGGTGAGTAAATCATGGGCTAATTTTCATTTTTGGCTGAACTATCCCTTTAAAGGGAGTTTATCACTGTGATTGAAGGACAGTGTGGACATCCGCTTACAGTCCGGAGTTCTTATATGAGAAAGTAGCATCTGAACATATTAATAACAATCTCTGCAGAGGAAGTGTAAGTGAGTCAAAAGCACAGACAGATGGTGCGGGTTGTTGCGGGATGGTTTGGGGGCAGGGAGGGTGTTTACTGGTGTGTAATCCGCTCTGATGTCACCGTGTGCTGAAGGAGGGGTCTGAGATCGGCTCGCATAATCCCCGTGTGCTGATAATATAAGAACAACCGACGAAGATGAAGGCGAGCCGAACAGCTCTTCTTCATCGCTTGTGCTCATAACAGGTAGGTGTAACGGAGGAGACTGTAAACTGCTGTTTGTTTGTCGTGTTTTACTGAGGGCACTAGGCTATAGCTCGTACAGGAGCTGCACCTGCTGGATGAATTCACTGGGGAGGGAAGATGCGTTCGCCTCAGCGCAGGCCCGCTACATTATCAAACAACACGCTTTTAACTTTTATTACAGACGGAAAGTTTTTAAATTACACCTTTAAATCTTATTTTGGTGTTTTACTGTGTGTTTAACTAAAGAAAATCTTTATATTATAATGTTAGGAGCGACGAAATGTCCATATGGTTAGCGGTATCACCTGAGTGACTGACTGCTACAGCCAAACAGAGACATTGGTAAGAGACAATACAATCATTGCGGTTTTATGTTGAGGCGTTTGGTTTTAAAGTCGCTTCTGATATTAAGATGAATAAGAAGCAAATTGTTAGTGTTTATGGTGAGCTAACAATAAAACCGGGTTTTGCCCAATATACAGTGAAAAATATAAATTTTACAGAACATTAAATGTAATCTTATGTTATAGCTAGCCTACTGTTTATTGTTATTGATAAAAAGTATGAATAACGTTATAATTTACGGTGAAAATCTATATGCTTTGATATTCCATCCACCCATAAGTGCATGCACTTTTTAGAATATGAATAAAACGTTGGAAACAATATACAATTTACCAGGCTTGTGATTTAGAGTGAAATATTTACAGACGCCATTGCTTGATGCATCAACTTTGATGATATTTTATTAAAAAAGTTAGTTTATTTATCTCTTAATGTACATGGTGTTTTATTTTACAAAGTTAAATTGTTTAGTTTGCATCTTTAAAATGCATCTTTATATTATTGTTTTCATGTTTGTTTATAAGCCATGGTTCATAACTAAGGCCGAATAAGTTTTGATTAACTTCATCATGTAATTTTAAGTTTTACCACCTGTATTATTAATATGGTTATCAGTATTAAAGATAGTTGTTCAGTTATTGGTATTATACAAAATATTTATTTATACAGTTATGCATTATAAAATGTATATGCATCAAAAGGTCTCTCATAATGCTTGAAACATTGTCATTATAGTCTTTGATGAAATTCTAGCAACCGCAGCTGTCAAGTTTTTTTTGTAGCATAACAGGATTTTACAACTGCAGTGGGATTTGCATTTCACTTTTTTTTTTAAATGACTCATTCATTAAACATCATGTGCTTCACTGTATACACTGTACATTAAACCTATAATTTTTCTAATTTCTTACACAGTTATACTCTAATTGTAGAATGTAAAAAAATACCATTGGGTGGCACCACTAGCGATTCTTTTTATTTTTTTTACATGTTTATTTTTTGCCAACTCAAAGTTATTGACACCACCTGCCACCGGAACTGCAGAGTGACCCTAATATGCATGCATGCATGCTCTCAGCTGTAAACAATACAAAGAGGCTGCATGCATGGTGAAAGTGAAGATCTCTGTTTAAATAGGGAGGTAAATCCCATGGCTTTGGGTTTTCATGAGAGGTTTGACAGATGAATCTGCTGAACTCCAGGACCGGTAGAGTATGCAGCATGACGACTGCCCACGGTGAGGCCATCTGTGACAGTGCTAGCCTACTGCCATGATAAACCATGTCTCTGCACAGGAACAAGAACATGCAGTGTGTTACTCTCTCATTATACAGACACATTGCTTGATTAGACATTAGGTGCATTTATAATTTTCACTGCCTGGCCAAAAAAAAAGTCGCTGTTTGGATTTTGCTTTGGGATGTAGTGTACTGGAGTAGACTTTACAGAGTGCTTGACTATAACATCACAACATTTACTTCCATCAAGAGGTGCATACATTTTTGATTCTTCATGTTTCCTCCCAACCATTCTTTTACAACTTGAGCCTGATGAATCTTGACATTGTCATCCTGGAATATAGCCATGATGAACATGGTTGTTTAAGAAATGAAAAGCTACACATTCCAATTATTAGGGTTAGATTTACTTGGGGATAGACAATTTAAATCTGGGCATTGATGGTATTTTTAGGACATGATACTGGTAATGTTTTTTTATCTGCTTCCAATATGTTTTCACACCTATATTGTATGATATACGCCTTCTCTACTACCTATGATTTCTGTGTGTCATGCATCAGCATCTAGACAATGAGCAGTGAGTGGGCGGAGCCATGAGCCATAGGGAGGAGCCAGAGGAGGCAGGTCCCAGAGGTCCTCCCCCTCATCGCAGCAAGCAGCCCAATGGGACTCCTCTCGAGGGAGGTCGCCCCAGATGGAGGCCATGCCAGCTGCACAATCCCGATGCAGAAAGCCAAGGCCACCACCATCATCACCATCAACAAGCCAACCAGCACCCACCTGGATCTAGCCAAGCTCCACCACGCCACCGTAGGCGGCATGTTCCCGGTCAAGCACAGCGCAGGCGGACTGAGAGCGGAGACACAGAAGTTAGAGCTGGCCAACAGCCCAAGCTGGGGGCGTCAAGACATCGTCGGGGTGGAGAGAGACTCCATCAGCACAGATACAGACAACAGCACAAAGAAGAAGAACAACAGGTGGCCAAAACTCCCCCAAAAGAACAAGCTTCAGAAGCATTATCTCCAGAAGATTCCTCTCAAGAACTGCTAACTCCATCTTCTCAGGATGAACCAATCACTGATAGACTGGATGGAAACAGTCCAGATCTCTCCCATTCATCTGACACACAGATTGATCGTGATACAGATCCAGAACAGCCAGAGTCTTCAATGGAACAGTTAGAGGAGAAAGTTCAATGTGAAGAATCAAAGTTTGGCGAAGAGGAATTGGTGAAAGAGAACAAAGAGGAAGAGGACTATTCCAGGGAAACTCATGAACAAGACTATGTTCCACCTAAGATTACTTCAAAATGTCGCCCTGAAAGTAAAAGAACCAGTCCGCTAAGAGTAGATGTTCCACCGTTCGTCACATCTCCTCACAAAAGGATGAACAAACCTTTTTTTCAGTCTCCAAGAACCTTCCCCGAGACTCTTCGAAACTACAACTCTGATCCCAAGTCATACCCTACTCATTTTAACACCAGTTACGCTCGTACAAACAAGAATAAAGGGTTTGATAGTCCCATGTCCCATGTTGTGGACCACCAAGATGATCTCTCAGACTCTAGTCCTGAAGCCTGCACTGATTCTTACCCTCAACTAAGCCCAGATTCTCACCCTGAAGAGACTTCACCAGAATATCAGACAGAATCATCCCAATGCAACCTAACAGATCCTAATCCAGCCCTTGAGGGGCCTCCGATGTACGAGAGGAACCAGAGCATGACCATGGACGAGTCTGATGACCAGTGCGACCCACAGGAAGACATGGGTCAGCTCAGTTCAGTGGGCTCCAGGCTGCACCACTATGATGAACAGTCAGGAGATGAAGCCGAAAGCTCAGGGAGAAGCAGAGCCCAGGTCAGGAAGATATCAAGCTTGACTAGCCTATCACTGGACGTTCACCCCCAAGAGGAGACATCAGAAAATACTCAGCTTTCACCTGATCTGCAGGTTGAAGTAGGGGAAAGACCTGATAAGTCATTCACTTCAGCCCAAGATGAAATAACAGAGTCTTGCAGAGCTACAGGAGATGCTGTCTCTTTGGCCATCAAGGATATTAAGGAAGCTATCGAGGAGGTGAAGACCAAGACTGTGCGTTCGCCCTACACTCCTGACAAGATCACAGAGCCCGTGTGGGTGATGAGGCAGGACGTGAGCCCTGTTGAGGACAACCTTCCTCAGATTCACTCATATCCACAGTCACCATGTCAGCTATCGCAGTCTTCTCCACTGTATGCGGTGAGTGAGTTTTCCTGCATAATTAACACAACTCCTTATGATGAAGTTCCTTATGAAACTTTATTTTAATGTACCCCTTTTATGCTATTTTAAAGGCTTTCTCCTACAATGCTTTTTGACCTTGAATGCATGTAAACCTACTTTAATTTCTCATAATATACATCGCAGCATCACCTCTTTTCTCACAGTGTCTGAAACGGTTCGGTCAAGGATTCGGTCTCTCTAAAAGACTCCTTTCCACGAGCCTACTCTGCTCTGATTGGTCAGATGGCCCAGTCTGTTGTGATTGGTCTACTCTGCTCTGATTGGTCAGATAGCCCAGTCTGTTGTGATTGGTCTACTCTGCTCTGATTGGTCAGATGGCCCAGTCTGTTGTGTTTGGTCTACTCTGCTCTGATTGGTCAGATGGCTCAGTCTGTTGTGATTGGTCTACTCTGCTCTGATTGGTCAGATGGCCCAGTCTGTTGTGATTGGTCTACTCTACTCTGATTGGTCTGATGACCCAGTCTGTTGTGATTTGTTTACTCTGCTCTAATTGGTCAGATGGCTCAGTCTGTTGTGATTGGCCTGCTCTGCTCTAATTGGTCAGATGGCCCAGTCTGTTGTGATTGGTCTACTCTGCTCTGATTGGTCAGATGGCCCAGTCTGTTGTGATTGGTCTACTCTGCTCTGATTGGTCTGATGACCCAGTCTGTTGTGATTTGTTTACTCTGCTCTGATTGGTCAGATGGCCCAGTCTGTTGTGAATTGTTTACTCTGCTCTAATTGGTCAGATGGTCCAGTCTGTTGTGATTGGTCTACTCTGCTCTGATTGGTCAGATGGCCCAGTCTGTTGTGATTGGTCTACCCCTTACAGAGCGTGTCGGAAACCAAACCGTACCTGAATTTCAGCTCCAGAAAACAGCGTCTTCTCCATGTCAACAACACGAACCAAAGTCGTCCATGCCTCAGCTACTCATTTTTTGAGGGTCGAAATAGACGTTGTTAGTGAGCAGCCAATGTAGACGTAGGCTGGCATTATGCAAATATGTTACAAACCTAAGTAAGTCTTAAAGTAAGACTGGAATTACTGACGACTCGTTTCAGGCAGTTCAGAATCGCTTCTTTCTTTTAGGAGACAAAAACTCATGAAAGGCAATATCCGAAAAAGCACAATAGGTTCATTTTATAAAAGGCCACAATTAGGCATTTTTTGCAGAATAACGGCAACATTTTTACCATTTGTATTCTATAAGCATGGACAGTAAAGTAAAAGAATGGCAAATATTGGATAGAAATATTTCAATGCCAGACTTGCATGGAAAACCTGCACATGACAGGGCATTGTAAAATTGTAAAAGTCATGAAAATGTATACTAAAATTTATATTGCAATTACACTTTTTAATAATGCTTGGATTTTTAACAAAAAATTCAACAGCTAAAAGTTTCATTTTCAGAAGTGCAGTCTCTATAAAATAATCTTTAATAATCTTTATACAGTAATCATGAATGCCTGGAACAATATATTTACACAGAAATAATATATTTACACAGAGATGTTAAAACAGAACAAGTGTGGTGATAATGCCACTTCTGATATTTAATAGCAGTGTTTTTTTTACAGGCTCCAGTTCCAGATGCTGAGCTTCCTTTGGGAGCAGAATCCTCTGGAGTCCATCATCAGGACCAGGATCTTGACATCAGTCCCTGTGTGTCATGTCAAGAGGTGAATTATTCTGTTTGACTCGCAGCTGATACATTTATGATTTATTCTTATACTTATTCCTTAAGCTTTTACTGTAATTATAACAATACTGTGTTTTTTTGGTTTGCAGCCTAGGAGAAATTTGGCCTCTTTCCCTACATATGTTGATGGTACGTTTAAGGAAACCACACTCTTATGATACGTGTCAAATAAGACTCATAAGGAATTTATTATCCTGCATTATCTTGTTAGATTGTAAGCCATTTGAATTTAAGGCTTGTGTCCCATGAAGCTTGTCAAGAATGTGTCCGGGATATATTTCACTTTTTTATTTTGTTTAAAAACACATTGGCCACAATTATTGGCACCCAAGATAACAGCTCTGAGTTTTCTCCTATAAGCCTGATGAGTTTGGAGAACACCTGACGAGATCAGAGATCATTCCTCCATACAGAATCTCTCCAGATCCTCCAGATTCCCAGATCCATGTTGGCGCTTCTCCTCTTCAGTTCAGCCCACTCACTGCCTATAGGGTTCAGCTCAGGGACTGGGGTAGTCACGGCAGAAGCTTCATTTTGTGCTCTGTGACACATTTTTGAGTTGATTTTGATGTTTGTTTTGGACCATTGTCCTGATAGAAGACCCAACCACGGTCCATTATAAGATTTTTAGCCGAGGCCGTCGGGTTTTTTTTATCTGTTGGTATTTGCTAGAATCCATCAGAGATGTAAAGTCCAGGTTCAGAAAGTAAAAGTCCTCCTCAGTATTTTGTTCCAATCACCTGGATTTGCTAATTAGCACAGTTCTTCATCCAGGAGATAGAACTAATTAGTGAAAACAGCTGTCTGAGTTCATGGGACTTTTACTTTCTGACCCCTGGACTTTACACCTCTGGAATCCATGATACCATGTATCTGAACAAGAAGTCCAGGACCTCCAGCAAAAAATAGGCCCTGAACATTAAAGATCCAGCCGTGTATTCAACCGAGGACATGGAGTACTTTTTATCCCTGTGTGACCCAAACCCATCTGGTGGGTTTGCTGCCAAAAAGCTATGTTTTTAGTTTGTTCTGACCATAGAATCTGGTCCCGTTTAAAGTTAGGCTTTCTGTCCCCAAGACTCAAGTAATCTCTGCAATTCTCCATCTGTGATCCTTGTAGAGTCTTTGGCCACTCAAACTCTCCTCTTCGCTGTGCATTAGGACGATATAGACACACGTCCTCTTCCTGGCAGATTCGTAACATCTTTAGTTGATTGGAACTTCTTAATTATTGCCCTTATGGTGGAAATGGGGATTTTCAATGCTTTAGCTATTTCTTACAGCCACTTTCTATTTTGTGAAGCTCAACAATCTTTTGCTGCACATCAGAACTATATTCTTTGGTTTTACTCATTGTGATGGATGATTAAGGGGATTTGGCCTTTGTGTTTCCTCATATTTACACTCAACATAAAGGCATAGCTAGACAACTTCATGTTCCTAGTCACCCTGGTGTGCTAAAAAATGTAAAAATGAATGGGAATGTACTTCAGAGATATTTTACTTATACAAATTTCTAGGTGTGCCAATAATTGTGGCCAACGTGTTTTGGAGAAAAGCAATATGCAGATTATATTTTACAGCCATCTTTGATCATATTTACCAGGGGTGCCAATAATTCTGACCAACTATATAGACATATTGATAAAAACAACAACTATTAAAAACTACTAAAAAACACTACAATTATTAAAACTTTTATTAAAATTAAAAATAAAAACGGAAAAATATAAAAACTAATTCAAATGATTAATAACTATAATAGTATCTCAATAATACTAAAATAACTCTGATTAATACAGACATGTTTTAAATCATTTTTAACACACTTACATTAATTTTTTTGTGTGCATATTTAAGATTTGCATTTTGACATTATTTTCATGACAATTAAGCTCATCTCTCCTCAGTTTTCATTACCACTATGCAAAAAAAAATAAAAAAAAATAATTGTAAAGTATTTTTTCAACATATTTGTAATTCTTTTATTATTATTTAAGTTAAAAATAAATGATATTAAAAATAAATAAACTGACTGGACAGGATGATTTTCATTACAGTATACCAGAACTGAGCTTCCAATGACAATTAAACACAAAAATAAAACATTGAGAGCATTTACCGTGATGCGAATCCTAAAATAATGCATCGCATCAGGTTCAATGTTCTGCTATCCCTATGGTCTGCCTGTTTCCACAGTTCCTGGCCCATGTGACCCTGAGGATTTGATTGACGGCATCATTTTTGCCGCAAACTACCTGGGCTCCACCCAGCTGCTGTCAGAGAGAACGCCCACGAAGAGCGCGCGCATGCAGCAAGCCCAGGAGGCCATGAGCCGCGTCCGGGTGAGAACACACACCCAGACACACACACACACACACAGAGCAGGTGCTGTTTCCTCTGCTGGACGCTCCTGGCTGTGCTCAAACATGCACACACCAATACTTCACTCAATCGCTAATATACTGATTCATCTAAGGTTATGTGAGGTTATGGGTGGAAAACATGTCACAAGCATCTCTGAATATCTAGCCTCTTAACAAACAAATGTGAGTGACAGGTAGTTGATTCTGAGAGTCAGTTTTTGTCTCAGGGCCCGCTGATGTCATTCTGATCAGAGCTGAAATTTTGATAGTGTTTCCCAAAAACCTTCAGCCTATCACAATACCATAAGATCCCACGCATTTGGGCGTATCCATCATTTCCACACCAATGGCATTGCGTCTGAGCTGCCCCACCATGCCCTTTTATGTTTGTAGGCTTTATTTTAACCGTTCTGTTTTCATTTGTCCCTTGCTGAGCAGACAGCCCAGACACAGGCCAAAATCAGAAATAAGGTACGGTGTTTGTTCCTGTGGACATGCAGGCCTTTAGTAAGATTGGTTCCTGCAGTATCATGTATTTTTTGCTGTTCTTTTTCATTTGTCTTGTATCAAAATGTGTTGTTTGACAGGCTTTTATATGAATACAAGAACCAAGGGATTGAAATCTAACAGCATCTGTGATGGTGGACTAGAGAGTGGTGTATTTGCTAGTCCAGGAAGTGACTAATAACAGTTTTTCTTGGCTTACGGTATCAGCAGGGCACTGAGAGTGGGCCGCCGTCCAGCACAGAAGTGGACCTCTTTATATCAACGCAGAGGATCAAGGTGCTCAGCGCTTTCACACAGGTGCAGAACACGCTCTGAATCTCTTTCATGCTGGTTTCACTTTGAATTTGTTGTGTGCTAGACAGACATGTGACAATAGGCGTACAGTCTGGTCCTCTTTGCTGCTTATTCTGGCCAAGAACTGTTTACACGTGACCATGTTTTATAATTTAAAACGGAAAACATTTTTGGCCGTCATTTTGGGGCCCTGAAAACGCAACATTTTTAAAAGGGTTTTCAAAGTGCACGTTTTTCAAAACGATACAATTATCGTCTCCATGTAAACTGCAAAAACGTGAATTTGTGAAAACGGTGACGTCAGGCGTAGTACGTGTTCAGTCAAAAAAAACTTTACGTTTTTAGGACATTGTTGTCGTTTAAATGTGAAATTAGATCGTCTGAGCGACATATAAAGTTTGTTTTTACATTTAGGGATGGGTAAAAGTTGCAAATGTCAAGTTGTTAAATCCTGTCAATTTAATCATCACATGTATGAATTGCATGATTTAAATTAATCTCTTCTAAAAATTAACATGTTTTTAATTTCTCTACAAAAATTTATTTTGGTATTTTTGTTGGAGCATTAAGTAAAAAAACTCTGGGTGATATGACTGTCTTAATATCACAATGAAGAGAAAAGCCTAAATAAAATTATAAGAATTAAATAAATAAAATTAAATAAAAGAATAAAATTCTAATCATTTTAAATACTAAATATTTTTTTGTTGAACTATTATGTTTAACTATTTTTTTTACATTTCTAAAAACTAAAGAAAAAGTTTCATTAAATGACTGAAAGTCAAATTCAATGTCATGTGGTGCAACCAACTTGCAGAAACAAACATAAAACAGGAAGTGACATCAAAGAGAGGACCTGTCAACATCAGTCAGGGCTCGTTCACACAGAACGCGTTTTTGCGTTGAAAGTTGAACTTCTTTTCACTTGAGCGCCGTGTTTTTAGAACACAATGTCGCGCGAGACGCTGCAAAAGACGCCAGACTTAAGCCCAACGGTTATACATGTCCGTCTAGTGCGTTTACATGGAGAAACAATGGAAAGGTAGCGCATTGGAATGGGAAAATGTGTTCTGTGTGAACTAAGTCTCTTAAAATATCAGATATTTGGACCTTTTCATGTAAGGTTATTTCAGGTTGTAAAATGTCATGTGGTGTGACATGGCACTTTTTTTCATTTGTTGTGGACACAAATGCATACAGCAGTTACAGGAATAAACCTCATTAGTTGTGATCAAATGTTCAGAAACACAGACTGACCTGTAGCATCCTCGTCTTGGCAGGACACCATGATGGACCATCCGCTGAGGACCATCTCCTACATAGCCGACATCGGGAACATGGTTGTGCTGATGGCTCGTGGGAAGATGATTCGCTCTCAGAGCGCACAGGAGAACCTGGACACGGCAGAGACGCAACACACAAACCCAGCACGAGACGACCAGCGCCAGTACAAGATGATCTGCCATGTGTTTGAATCAGAAGATGTGAGTGTTTCAGCTGTTACACCACGTCCTCCATGGAAAGCTGCAAATCTGTTGATGTTTCTTGTATCGCTTGGTTCTTTCTCTGTGTCAGGCTCAGCTGATCGCTCAGTCCATCGGCCAGGCCTTCAGCGTTGCGTATCAGGAGTTTTTGAGAGCCAATGGCATTGATCCAGAAGACCTGAGCCAGAGAGAGTACAGCGACCTGCTCAACACTCAGGACATGTACAACGACGACCTCATTCACTTCTCCAAGTCTGAAAACTGCAGAGATGTGAGTTGACCAGTGGCCATAAAGTGACAGTAGTTGAGCTATATTTCTTTTTTTTCCAATGGACAGTTATTTCAAATGTGTGTGTTCAGCCCTGCAAAGTACCGATGGTTATTTATCGCTGCTAAGCCAAACACTGCAACTAAATTGTTTCAACCCTGTTGCAGTAAGTTTGAAATTCATAAACTTAAATTCATAGATAATGAGTCTCTTATTAAATCATACATATAAAATATCAATTAGATTTCTGTTGAGTTCTACACAAAACATGTGCAAAGACCATTCAGGGTTGAATATCAATTCTATAAGATAGGAATATCACACTATACCACATTACTTGGAGTCATTATTTTTGCCAGAAATGTATATATATGAGTTGAAATATTAAGCTTTGAAAAAATGTAAAAGGTCAATTTCACCATAATAATATAGAAAAACACCTTGATTGAAACATGAGAGAAATACTTGATATAACACCAGGAATAGCCAGGAAACCATTATTTTAAAAGTGGGAAGTGTATATGGCACAACAGAAATTAGAGACAAAACCAGATTCTACACAATACGCAAACAATTATTTTAGAGGAAAAAAGTGTTGCCAATGCATGATATTTTATTTTCAACAAAAACAAAATGTAGTTAGAATTGGACTTTTTTCGATGGTACCAATTGAGACGAGCAAATTGGATGATATTCCAAAGAATAAAGAAATGAATTTTGTCATGGACACTTAACAGAGCTAAACTATAAAATAAAATGCCTTCTGATTTGACCTGTAATCCTGTAATAATGAATGGTGTGTCAGGTGTACATCGAGAAGCAGAAGGGTGAGATGCTGGGTGTGGTGATCGTGGAGTCGGGCTGGGGCTCCATCCTCCCCACGGTCATCATCGCCAGCCTGATGCACAGCGGACCCGCAGCCAAGTCCGGGAGACTCAACATCGGAGATCAGATCATGACCGTCAACGGCACCAGTCTGGTCGGACTGCCGCTCTCCACATGTCAGAGCATCATTAAAGTAGGACCAATGAGATTTGTTGTGTTTTCTGTATTTCTGATCTGACAACAAACATTTGAGCTTTTAGACTCTACACAAGTCAAGTCATCTTCATTTATATAGGTCAGGTCATCTTCATTTATATAGCGCTTTTAACAATGGAGATTGTTTCAAAGCAGCTTTACAGAGATAAACATACAATTTACGGTAACAGAGATTGTTGACACACACTGATCCCAAGGGAGTTTCATGTTAGCATGTTGCTAAGCTAATTGCTCAAATCTGTAATAATCATAAAAATACATAACAGAAATGTTGGGTAATTTTAATAGAATATAAACAGACTATTGTTTTTAAGTACCGGTAAGTTAAACTTAAAGTCCCCCTGTTTTGAAAATCCAGCTTTTAATGTTGTTTATATGTTTATGTGGTGTTTTAAATATGCTTTAAGACAAACCATGTGTAAATTCATAAGTCGACAGCATTGCTGAGTATTTCCTCCTTAAAACTGCAGTGAACCAAAGACAGTCTCAAAAACACGGTTTGAAATCGCTGGTGTTTCTGACGTCACAAACTACCTTGTAACCAATCAGATCAAAGTGTGATCGTCAACCAGTGGATCTCTGAGCTGGAGTGAGTGAGTGGAGGCGGGGCTCATTTGCATATTCATAGAACCGCATATACTAAATGAGGCAAGGGTGTAGAGTTACATTGAGCGTTATCTATTGACAATGTTCCCTCAAAGTTATGAACTAATATTCTTCCAGTAACATTAATAATTGAAATGTATCTGGTCGAATAATGTTCTCAAAACATTAGCACAAAAATGCTATTTATACATCATTCATGCAAAAATATTTTAGTTGGACGTCAGTCTATTTTTTTGTTGTTTTTTAAAACGTTCCCATAATACTTGCAAAATGATCAAATAGAGAAAACATTCCCTTAATGCCTCACGGCAAAATAATGTGCTTTGATTAGTGTGGTCTACCTGTCCTGTGTTCAGGGGCTGAAGGCTCAGTCCAGGATAAAGATGAACATCGTCCGGTGTCCCCCTGTGACCATGGTGCTCATCCGCAGACCAGACCTCCGCTATCAGTTGGGTTTCAGTGTACAGAATGGCATTGTGGGTATTAACATCAAAACATTGGTCAGGTTTTACGGTGTTTTCTAGGTAGCAGCTGCTAACAGAGTGATGTTTGGTTGTCAGATTTGCAGCCTCATGCGAGGGGGGATCGCAGAGAGAGGAGGGGTCCGCGTGGGCCATCGCATCATCGAGATCAACGCTCAGAGCGTCGTGGCCACACCTCACGAGAAGATCGTCCACATCCTGTCCAACGCTGTGGGAGAGGTAAGGAGTGTCCTCCGTCAACTACGGTTGTATTCTGGTGCCTATTCATTAAACAATTGCTTTTATAGCTTAAAACTGTTATCACATACCTTGCAAGGTTTCCCAAAGATTAACACGGCAACAAAAGTCTAGTAAGGTTTTGAACAAAAAAAAATCCCTCCTCCGCCAAGCAGTTAATCCACAGCGACATGCATGAATGTTGCTATAATGTGTGAGACAGACACACACACACACTAGATGTCGCAGTAATACCATGCTGAAGGTCTGAAGACTCTCAACTGTGTGGTTACATAACCAATTATAATCAAGAACAGGAAGTGTCCGTTTTTATAACATGTTTTGATACTTTTGTCTGGCTAATTTTGTCATGAGACAAAATGTAGCATAATGCTGCCATCAAGGCAACGTCTTTTTCAGAGACAACCCTGCTTATTTCAGCGATCTGCACGTGTTACAACAGTGTGGCTTCAGTTCATAGTAAAAGAGTTCAGGCACTAGACTTGGGCAGTCCACACCTGCCTCCAATTGAAAATGTGTGGTGGATCATGAAGCAAAAAATACAACAACAGAGACCCCAGACTGTTGAGTACGTAAGGTGTTAGCATTATAACATGTAAGTGTAACTGTAATTCAATGCTGCAACTAAGACTACATGATGCCTTTAAAAGCAACAGGCGAACAAATGAAACATTCACTTAAACGGCAGCATGTTTCGTGGCGGCATGTGAGCGCACAGCCAGACTCTCAGATATGCTCAGATGCTCTGTTTACAGTGCTGTGTCTGGGAGCGCAGCAGAGGCGAGTACTGAAAACACGGAGTGGAGTTTAATTTACATGGACTGGATTTGAGGAAGCAGAAGCGTGGAAGTCAAGGCTGTGGCTAAAATGCGGAGTGGAGTTTATTTTATTAGTGCATTCCTCAAGTGGAATGGATTTGACAGACGGCGCTCTGAAAAGTGAACAGACATATGTGTTGAATTAGAGATGGTAAAAGTGAGTGGGTCCAGTATCATTGGGTTAATGAAGGCTCTCCCAGTGCATCACACTCTGCTGCGTATGAGAGAGCCTATGATGAGCCTGTTCACCGTCGAAAGAGCCTACAATGGGCTCGCGGGCGTCTAAACTGGACCTCGCCGCAGTGGAAGAAGGGCGCCTGGTCCAATGAGTCCCTTTTCTTTTGCATCACATGGACGGCCGTGTACGTGACGCCGTTCACCTGAGGAAGTGATGCAGGATCACTGTGGGACGACGAGCCGCTGGAGGGAGTGTGATGCTCTGGACAATGGCCTGCTGGGAAACCCTGGGTCCGGCCGTTCATGTGGACGTCAGTTGTCACTTGTCACGAGTCTTGCTTCATTTACATTCACATAACCACTCCCATGGCCTCATGGGATAGTGAAGTGTCCATCATACCGACACTTCAGAATCTCAGCTGAAGTAGTAGATCATCCGTGTACTTTTCGCCTGCTGTTTTACGAACACTGAGTTGGGACACACTACAGTACGTGGCTCACATACTGGTTTTCACCTGCTGTAGTATGGCGTATTCTGACCCGTTTACACCTTTCAAGTTAGCATGTTGCTGAGCTAACGGCTCAATACTGTTACACAAGACTCGTCACTCGTATTGTTCTGAATGGGGAAAAGTGCAACACTCACTCAAAATGGAGGAATGTTGTCAGATTTATGCAATTTAAATATGAAATTTAATCGTAAGCTTGGTGGACAGTTTTGGAGAATTTGATGTTTCCTCGTTCAAAAAGATAGTAGCTGCACTCACATGACTGAAATAGCCGAGTGAAATAACATGTCTTAAAGGGACTTTGTTAATACTCTTATAATAAAAATTGAAAGCGTGTCACATGAATGGTTATCCAGTGAAGGTGAATACTGTAATCATGTGTCCCTCAGATCCACATGAAGACTATGCCTGCCGCCATGTACCGCCTGCTCACGGCCCAGGAACAGCCCGTCTACATCTGAAGCTCATCACCTTTACACACGCTGACCCAGACTTCTTATTTATTGAGATATTAATATAACTGTTTACAGATTGATTTTACTGGATGTATGTATTTATTCTTCATAAACCACAGCGTTCCAGCAGCATCTGACCTGCCTTAATCTCTACATGATCACTCCACTGTTCAAACGTACCAAAGAGAGCTGAGCGGCCCGACACACACTATCAGAGATCAATGCACTGAGCACAGGGACACACTCCTGATTTACTGAGCTGTACTGTTGTCATCAATAAACTAAAAGTAAAGGTACACAATATTTGTCACATTTTCTATAGAATGTTTTCTAGCACATTCGGTAAGGTTTTTTTGAAAGAGGTCTCTTCTGCTCACCAAAAGCTACATTTATTTGATCAAAAATACAATAAATATAATGTAATACTGTGAACTACTATTAGAATTCAAAAGAAATAACTGTTTTCTATGTGAATGTATTTTAAAATGTAAGTTATTCCTGTGATAAAAGCTGAATTTTCACATGATCCTTCAGAAATCAGTCTAATATGATGATTTGCTCAAGGAACATTTCTGATTATTATCAATGTTAAAAACCGTTGTGATGCTTCATATTTTAAATGCTGTTGTAATGTAAAATATGAAGCATCACAACGGTTTTTAACATTGATAATAATCAGAAATGTTCCTTGAGCAAATCATCATATTAGACTGATTTCTAATATTAACTTTTACTGTTTGATCAATTTAATGCATCCTTGCTGAATAAAATAATTCATTTCTTTTAAAAAATAAACTTTTGGATGGTAGTGTAAATTTGCAAGCATTTAAACAGCAAAACTTTCTTGCATTAATACAATGGCACAATTAATGATAAATTATTATAAAAAAATATGCATTTTAATTATTTAATAGACCAATTTAATAGTTATTCTTGTGACAAAAACTATTTCAGACACTAAGACTATATCCTGTATCAGAATCTGTCAATCCCTGCTCTAGATATGGCTCAAGTTATTAATAATAATAATGAGGCAAGCATAACTAAAGAAGAGCAAAGCAGAAATATTAAAAGTCAGTTTATTTATTTGTCTTTAATATTTAAAAATTCCACCAATCTGTGTTTTATTAGTGGTTAAACCCAAAGCACTGATCATAGACGCATAACAATAGTGTGAACATTACACATGATCTTATCATAAGCCAGTTTCTAAATCATAATTATAGCATAGTAAAATATGCAGCAAGCATAAAATAATTTTCTAAACTTCAGTTAATAATACATGTTTGATCAATGATATTAAGGCACTCCAGCAAATGCTTTGGGAAAATAACATTTCATTTTGGTTTATGGCGAATTTGAGTGGTGTTAATAAGGAAAGTGTAACGTTAACTCCATCTAGTAGCTTTCATTAGAAACAGTGTGGGAGAATAAAACTGAAGATGCACAAAATATCCTGGAAAATAAATCACTACGAGACGACATGAAATATACACTGAAATTTCATATAAAAACATTGCAGGTATAAAAAGATGCTGTTTTAGAAATTGCACGTTTATACTGCATGTGGCGAACAACATCCCATGAGATGACTCACTCTCACACACACACACACTCTTCCTCTGATGACATGCACAGATCCCACGAGGTTAATGGCACATCACAGGGAGTTAGAGTTCAGTGTCGTTGTATTTCTTGGGATTGTAATAGCCTCTGCGGTTCTGGTCAGCCAGCTGGCGGCGATACTCTTCCTCGTCCTCATCCTCGGCGCGGTGGTGAGAGCGGCTCTCTGAATACTGGGGTTTGGAGGAGCTCTGGGACTCAGAGTTTGAGCTGGAGCTGAAGGGAATAGAGCCATCACTGATGGGACGTACCATTAAAGACACTTTAGGGGTTTATAAATGTGTTGAAATGGGAATCAAAGAAAAAAAGGAAAGATAGAGAGCGTGGGGGGAAAACAAACTCACCCAATTGGTTGTGGCCTGTTTTGATTTGGTTTGGGTTTGTGGGGAACTGCGTAAATATCTGGATGTTTCTGAGATATTTCCAGCTGTTAACCAAAAAGATAAATACCAGATACATTTAAAAAAAAGATAAATACCAGATACATTTAAAAAAAGATAAATACCAGATACATTTAAAAAAAAAGATAAATACCAGATACATTTTAAATACCAGATAAATACCAGTTTTCTTTTTTTAAATGAAATATCCAGGTCAAAGTTCACCCCAAAAAATTCTATAATTTTATCTGTCTGTCTGTCTATCATCTTTCCATCCATCCGTGTATGATTATAAATATATATATATATGTATGTGTGTGTGTGTGTGTACCAAATGACATTTAAGTACATTTCCCCCCATTTCAATTTGATATAATAAAGTATATAAATCATTTATAATTTGTATTAAATTGGCTTTATGCCACAGCTTCACTACTTCCTGAACTTCAGCCAGCCCTTTGTTTCCTGTCTGTCATTATTGGACAAACTGATTAATCCAGGTGTGGCTGGCCTCAGTAACAATAATCAGGCACACCTGGATTAATCAGTTTGTCCAATAATGACAGACAGGAAACAAAGGGCTGGCTGAAGTTCAGGAAGTAGTGAAGCTGTGCATAAAGCCAATTGAAATGGGGGAAATGTGCTTAATTGTCATGACAACAATGAATGAATAAATAAATGAACAAATGCTTCATTTTCTTTATGCAAAGTAAATCTTTTTCGTTTGATTTTGGTGTGAAATGTGAGATCTACAGCAGTTGGTGTAGTTTGTGTGAATGACGTCACGAACCCGTGCTTGTTCGGCCTCCTGGAGCTCCTGCATCCTTTTGGCCCGGGCCAGGTTGTCCATTTGCTCGAAGGCCTTCACCTTTCCCCGGAAGGTGCGGCTGGCGGGGTCCTCGGCGGGGTCTTTAGGGGCCGTGTCGTCAGCTGGGCCCGTCTTCATGTTGAAGCTGGGCTTCTGGGCTACTGGCGGTGGGAGGGGTTTGGTGCTGACGGGAACATCACTGCTGATCGTGCTGCTGGAACGGGAGTCGAAACTCCTGGAGTCGGCGGGACGGGAAGCTGACCTGACCTGCAGGAACACATGGGGTTTTTAACTGAGGTGCTGTCCGCATCAGGGCTCAAGAATACTTCGGGGAGGAAAAGGAGGTATAAAGGAAATGACAGCACATCTGACCTTAGGGGGTTCTGGAACAAACGATGGAGGCGGGCTGGGGTCCCGCTGCACCTCTCTGCTCGCGGGCTTCTTTGAACGCTCGTGGGGGACAGGCATGGGCCTCTGAGTGGGTGAAGAGTGAGAACTGGAGCATTCGTTCATTCAAAAATACAGACAATGACTAATACCACCTAAACCACACTGAAAGCATGTCTATTGCTGAATGTGTGTTACAGACTCAAAATCATACAAAACCAAAAAGAAGTCTCATCAAAAGACTACAATACTTGGAAAAAAGCTTTATGACAGATGTTGGCATATTTCTTGTATTATTATTAATACTACTACTAGATACACTTTAATATTTTTTGAAAGAAGTCTCTTTGATGCTAAAAACATTTCTGATTATTATCAATGTTGAAAACAGTTGTGCAGCCTCGTAGTTTTGTGGAGACCATGGTACATTTTTTTTAGGATTATTTGTATGTATGTATGTATGTATGTATGTATGTATGTATATATATATATATATATATATATATTAAAGCTTACTGACCAAAACCTTCTGAGCGATAGTGTTAAGTAATATTATTATAACAGTGAAAATTTGTCAAACTATTATAAGCATCTGAAACAGAATAACATAAAATAGAAAATGATATCACAGAAAGGCCACTTATGATAATGACCTTTTTATGACATTGAAGGTTAGTTCAAATGGTAAAAAACAAGAAAACTTTATAATATTAATGCTTCATAATTTAAAAATTCTTGCTAGGTAAATTAAAGGGTAATTTTTGCCTTAATGTTGGTAAAACATTTTTGTTGTACATTCACACAAAGAAAAAAGATTTTGACTTGATGGTTACGCCACTTGACTTCTCGAGTCATTAAATCAAACCCTGTTTAAATGGCACATATATTCAATGTCACTGAACTATTCAAAAAGATGATGCCAGACTGATGTTCAACATGAATGTGTGTTGAATATGCAGTTTCACGCGTGTCCTATGGGGAGCAGTGTGCACAAAGCTGGATCCATGAACACAATTCTCTCATCACTGATGCTCATTTGACGGTCAGTGATGATGATAGCGATAATGAAAACAGGATGAGTGACCTTTACAGATTTTGATAATCAAATGACTCAATGTTTCCGGGTAGTGCTAGATGGGTACGGCTGTAATCACAGGCCCAACAGTGGTAAACTGACAGGAAGTGTGTAGTTCACAGAGCCACACTAACCTCCTCGCTGACAGGCTCAGACGAGCGGCTGATCGCTGACATGGGCTGTGGATCGTCGGTGGACTCGTCCAGTTCATTATCTGTGTATGCGCCGCCCTCGTCCGCCGTGTCCTCGTAATCGCTGGTCAGGCGGCTGTCCATGCTCAGGTAGTCTGCGCTCATGGCCGACAGGTATGACATGCGATCGTCCTGCAGATCCAAGTCCTCCTCAGGTCCATCAAGCTGAAACCCCACACACAATTCAGCTCTAACAGGTCTGATCATTTGTTGCGTCACATTTTAATAATAATAAAAAAAAGGTCCTATTATGCTTTTTTACGTCTTCTTGTTTCTTTAGTGTGTAATGTTGATGTTTGAGCATGAAAAAGCTCTGCAAAGTTATAAAGCACAAAGTCCCTCCAGCAGGAGTTATTCTCTAAATCAGCATTGCTGTTTCTGAACTCTGAAACGCCTCCATTGTAGTCTTGAGGAATATTGTGACGCGTTTGTTCCCGGATGAAAACTCATTTAAATAATTCACGCCCAGTCATACACAGAATAAAGGGACGAGGCCTGGTTAAGTGAGTTAGTAGTGTTGAAACTGGCGGTTATGGTAAGGGGCGGGACATTTCCCAAACACACTCGAAGCGGCTGACCAATCACAACACACTGATCCAGCCGACCAATCAGAGCACATTGTGCTTTTCAGAAGGAGGAACTTCATAGAGACAGGAACTAAACAGAGCGCTACTGACAGACCGGGAAGAGAGTAGAGCGTAAATCAGACATGACGATATGATCTGATATTGATTCTCTTCGCCAGCCTTACGATATTTGCCGATTTCTAAAAAAAAATCTGAAATACGATTTGATCCAGAGGTATATTGATCGACATATTGATATTATGTGGCTATCTTACACTACCAGTTACATTTTTTTTAGTTACAAATGCAACCAAAATATTAAGATAACTATATTAGTGTCGACACCAGCGGACGATATCGTTCTGTTTATTCCAAGCGTGCGCTTGTCTATTGCTTGAAATGCTCGAGCTCGTAACAGCAGGATGGATTCTGATTGGCTGTCGATGTTTTTATCGTTCATAAGCTGGATAAAATCATGCTGAAAGTGATTCCAACGATATCGTTTCTCTGTGCCGTTATCGTTATAGCTGTGGTGTGAACTCTGCTATTCTTTAATCTTGAGAACGATTTTTAGAACTATATCTCGTTATCTTTATAGTTATCATTTATGGTGTGAACAGGCCTTAACAGAAGTTTCAGGTACAGAAACTGAAAAATGTATCAAAGTTACAAAACTTATTCAGGCAAGAGCAGTGAGTGTTTTTTCCCTTGTCCTTAGTTTACTTTTTGACTAACATTGACAAGCGGCAGAAGGTTTATTAGGCTGCTGTCATTTCAAGACCGAATGCACGGATCTAATATACTGTCACACGTGCGCTCCCTTTCTTTACTGTTTACATAACCCACTGTGTTGTTTACTAGGAAATTCACCAAGACATTTTGTCTGTATTTGTCTATTTTAGGACAACTCTCCGTGGGCGCGCGCAAAGAAAACAGTCTGTCTTTTTGTGCTTGAATGCTTATATTGGCAAGGCTTAAAACACGTGAAACTGATACATTTTCGTGACGATTCAGCAATGGCCTGATCGGGATAGTGATAGCTCACCCCGGGCCATCGGGCTGTCCTTAATGTCGAGCCCTGACAGGTGTGTTTAAACAAGACAGCACATTTCAATGTAGGTATTGATTTTTTTTATGAGTTGCATCGATACATTGTATTGTTAGAAATTTGCATGAAAACCTATGCTTGTAAGCCCCCAAAAAAGAGAATTGTAAAAGAGCATAATAGGTCCTTTTTAACATATGCGATTAATTAAATAAGGAAATCTTAAGGAAACAAAGCAGCACAACATTTATTGTAACCGTGAATATTGTATTATGTAAGGAATAAATGCCTACCTTGCTTTCACAGACCCAGACGGCTTTATCTTGTTGTTCTCGTACGGCTTCCTTGAGACTTCCAAACCAGGCATCATGGGAAGAGTTCAGATCAATGGTAGCTGGATAAAGAATCAAAATGTAGACATCGATAATCTAAAATAGTTTGACATTTCCTGAGGAATGGCTCATCAGACTTACCAGTGAACAGGTGTGAGCAGGTTTTCCGCAGTTTGACTGCTTGTTCATAAAGCTTGCGTGAGCTGCGGTTGGAGCCGGGAACCAGGCGGTTCCTCATGGTCTTCACCCCCTGCTTGCTATCTGGGTTGAGGAAAATGACGATGGGATACCACTGGGTGTAATTTAGGGTGTCTACAGCCTTTGGAGTGACGTCAAGCAGAGCGTGTAGATCCTATGAACAAGAAAAAAAAGATTGTTTCTTAGATATTAATGATTTTTTTGCACACAGAGATTCTGAGGGGTGACTGTGCGGTGTGTACCTGCTCGATGATCTGACGAATAGTGTTGAGTCTCACCACACCAGACGGCTTGTCGGAGCCCGCGTCTTTAGGTTCGGTCTCTGTCACAAGAAAAACATGCACAGATCAAAAGTCTCATCCGCACACCACTATATTTGCAGAGATCTTTTATAAAGTTGTGAATGGCTTACTTGCTACGATAAACTCATCTGGAAGATCATTGCCAAGTTTTTCATTGGCTGCGTCTGAAATGGGGCCGAATATCACGACGGGTCGTCTGAACCCAGCTGGTGGTGGAGAGACCAAGAAAAAAGTCTTAGTACATAAACACGCATAAACTAGATCTTTTGAAGGTCAAGTTAACTGAGTTGAGTTTCTGGCAAATATCAGATTACTTGATTAATCGTCAAAATAATGAACCGATTACTCGATTACCAAAATAATAGTTAGTGACAGCCCTAGGTTACTTAAAACATTTCAAAATGCACCTGCTTTGTTTTGCGTTTTGTGACTTTCAGTCGAATAAAAGGCTATTTTTCCAGTCATATATATTTCGTCATTTAAGATTTCTTAAAAATAAATGTTAAAATATCTTCTCGTGAACCCAATATCGTGTATCGTCTCGGGAGCTAAGTGTATTGTCACACCCGTAATGTTTTCATTTTTAAATGTATTAATTTATGTATTTCTTTATATTATGTATAAAGAAACAAAACAAGTTGAGTGCCTTATCTAACCAGCACTATAGTATTAAAAATCTGGAAACACTATTTAAAACCTTTATGTATACTGCATTACAAAAGGTATTCGCAACTTATGTTATAATGCATTATATCTTTTCATAAATAATTGTAACCAAAGTGTAAATTAGTGCTGTCAAACACGATTAATCGCATTAATGTCATAGTTAATGCAATTTTTATCTATTCTAAATGTCTCTTGATTTCTTTTTGTCCCATTATTTTTTCTCATTTTAATGCTCATCAACATGGAAAAGTGGATCGGCTTGCTTAGTATTGTCAATGTTGTTTTCAATAAAAAAAACATTTGCACAGTGTTGAATTTCACACTAACATTCTCACTTGGAGCAAATAATCTCTCACACAATGTAACACTGTCCATCAATAAAAGGGTGAAAGAAATACTGACGAGGTCCTGATATTGACGAGGGGGCGGAGGATTCGCATCAGCTGTGTGTGTGTGTGTGTGTGTGTGGCCATCAAGTGGCATTTCAGACTGGACGATGATGATGATAGCTCAGTTCACAACGACAAAACACACAGATCACTTTGGTCTTGTCAATGGAACCATTTGGCAACTTTTTAAAAGTAAACTTTCCATTCAGAATCTTATTGGCATCCATTTCGGCGTCTCGCGCTCGTCATCCACTCAAAGCATAACGTTAACCTACTATTTGGCCGGCTCGCAAGCCCAAACAAGTGTGTGCGGTGTCGTGCCTGTTGTTTTGTTTCCAGTCTAGCTAGATCCGCTTGCGCTTTCAAAACGTCCTCGCGCGGCGCAAGAATGGGTTTCATAGCGCAGCGCCGCGCATGCCGCGTCCTGTTGCAAAAGCATGTGAAAAAAACCCACAAAGTTTGCTAGGCCAAAAAGACCGTTAATCACACGATAAAAAAATTAACGCCGTTAAAATGGGTTTGCGTTAACGCCGTTAATAACGCATTTAACTGACAGCCTAGTTTAAATGCATTATAATATTCCTCGAGTCTGAAATTGGTAGTTTGTTGTGTTATAATGCATTATACTTTTTAAAGGAGTAACAATGAATAGACACATATTATAATGTATTATAAATTTTATAACTGGTTACAATTATTCATGAGACCATAAAGTGCCTCATAAAGTGGAATAATTAATGCATTCACTTTTTACTTAATTAAATTAACGCATTATATATAAAGGCTTTAAGTAAAGTGTTCCCAAAAATCTTTGCATTTTAATACATAAAAAAAAAAAAAAAAAAAAAGTACTAAAATATTCAAAAGTATGCATAAACTAACAAAGCATATTAGGTAAATCCTTCTGTAAAATAAAAATAATAATAAAAAACCTATTCAATTCAAAAATTTTAAAGACTTTGGACATTTTTATTTAACTTTTTATTTATTTATTTTATTTCAAATGAAGCACAAAACCACACTGAAATGTTTTTTTTAAATGCATATATCATGTGAAGTAAAGCATGACGGGCGTACCTTCGCGCAGCACCACTCTCTCGTAGGCTGGGAAGCGTGTAGTGACCGGTGTAGCACTGAGATCCTCTCTGCTCTTGCGCAGGTCTTTCTTCTTGGCTGCCCTTTGACCTCTCAGCCTCCAGAAATCTCCCCGGTCATTGCCAGCGCCTTTCTGTGCATTCTGAACATTTGCCATCTGCTCCGCTCTGATAAACAAAATGATCACACAAACACCTAACAAATAATGTGCTTTTAAAGTCAATGTCAAAGGGTGACTATGTGACGTCAGCAAATAGAAAATGCCATTTCAGGGGTCGGTTTTGATTTCATGTTAACATTAAGAGAAGTTGTCCTTCTACTAAATACTAAAGAAATACAATAAACGAAGCAAAATAGTGAAGACTCCTGCAGTGTGATCCACATTCACATGATCTCACCTGCTCTTGCTGGGTATGATGCCTTTCTCCAGGAGCTGATTGTCTTTGTCCGTGCGGATGGCGAGCCAGTTACCCAGCTTTCCGTCGTACAGGGTGTCCACCACTTTAAATATCTCCCCTCTGGAGAAGGTCAAGCTCTGAGGAAGCTCTTTCTCGAACTCAAAATGAGTCCTGATGAAGAAGTTATCCCCTCGTCCAGACGCCAGGATGTCTTTATAAACTAAAATAAAACGAGAATAATTCACAGCACTTTTATTACAACTACAAATCTGATTACCCTTTCAAAATAAAACACTTTTCTTTTGTAATATATTTTAAAATGTAATTTATTCCTGTGATCAAAGCTGAATTTGTCAGCATCATTACTCCAGTCTTCAGAAATCACTCTGATATGAGGATTTGATGATCAAGAAACATGTATTATTATAATCAATGCTGAAAACTGTTGTGCTGTTGTACTTTTTGTGGAAACTGTGATACATCTTTAGATAGGTACAAAGTAGAAAAAGTCTTTATTATATTTTGATCAATTTAATGCTACCCTGCTGAATAAAAGTATTGTTTGTTTTTTTACTTACCCCAAACCTCTCAATGGTAATGCATCACAGTTTAAGTAGCACAAAATGTTAAAATATGAATCAGCACAACTATTTTCAACATTGATAATAATCAGAAATGGTTCTTGATCATCAAATCATCTTATCAGAGTGATTTCTGAAGGATCATGTGACACTGAAGACTGGAGTAATTCAGCTTTGATCACAGGAATAAATTACATTTTACAATATATTCACATAGAAATAATAATATGTCACTATATTACTGTTTTTACTGCATTTTAAATCAAATAAATGCAGCCATGGTGAACATAAGAGACTTCTTTCAAAAACATTTAAAAATGGTACATATATATAAACTGTAGTGACTACAGTGGGGTGTTTTGAACTACCATCAGGTTTGCTTTGAGACAAGATGGTCACATCCTCTCCTTTGGGAACCTCCAGTAAATACAGAACCGCATCTTCCCGGACCATTCCTCTGAAATCCATATTATTCACCTGCAGGGAAAGATAAACACAAACGATCAGTCGATAATGTGGACCAAATGTATAAAGGATGAAGGCATGTGATCTTATAACGTGGAGCCAGTGGTGTTGCACCTTCACGATCTGGTCTCCAGTGCGGAGTCCCTCCACCTCGGCAGGGCTGTCCTCCTGGACGCCCGCAACAAAAATGCCCACATCATTTCCTCCAGCAAGACGCAGGCCAACACTCTCGCCCTTCAGAAAGCGCACCATCACGGTGTTGGGGCTGTGGGATATTTTTCATTAGAATCACAAGTTTGCCTAAAAATATCTGTAAGTGACAATAATCGGGAGCTTTATGCTTTATGTCAGGAGTGCAAAGATGGCGACTGAAATTTAAATGGCCATTGGTTCAATTTTTGTTGAGGTGTTGATTAGTAAACTGCATGCCAAACTTCCAAATCCCTTTATCAAATATGTTTTCACTATAGGCAGGGTTAAATGAATAAATGGTAAATGGACTGCATTTATATAGCGCTTTCACAGACCCAATGGCTTTACAATTTGCCTCACATTCACCCATTCACTCACTCATTCATACACCGACGGGCGACGGCAGCCATGCAAGGCACCATCCAGCTCGTCGGGAGCAGCTGGGGTTAGGTGTCTTGCTCATGGACACCTCGACACTTGGTCAGGTGGAACCGAGGATTGAACCACCAACCTTCCGGTTTGTAGACAACCCACATGAACCACTGAGCCACTGCCGCCCCATAACGCCCGAATAGCTTTTAGGTTTAGCTTAAAATCTGGATTCAAAAGCCAAGAAGTAGTACAAACCCGTATATTTCCAGGTCCTCCAGACTGGGCCGCAAGGGAACTTTTGGTAGAGGTTTGGCTTTTACTGGAACACTTTTTGGAGCAGCATTTACCACAGGAGCTGTATAAAAAATAAAATAAAATAAAATAAAATACACGCTCTCATCATCGGTTTCTTCTAGTCCAAGGGCCCCTGGAGGCCATTGTCCTGCAGAGTTCAGCTCCAACTTGCCTCAACACACCTGTCTGGAGGTTTCTAGTATGCTTGATTAGCTGTTCAGGTGTGTTTTACCAATAGAAATGTTTAGACTCGTCTCCATTGCGGTTACGCTTAAGTGACATTGCTGTGCAGCATGGTCACAAAAGCCTATTGTTTACATGCAAGCACTGTGGCTTTCGGTATGCATGTGCTGTCTGAGAGATAGTTCCTGATGGTTTCTGTCTGAGAGACGCACGCACATGAAGCCGCTGAGCATGTGTGTACTAAACAGTTATTTTTGCCGCCTAAATGGACTTGCACGGTCAAATACACGCAAAGATGGTAAATTTCACACATAAGTGTAAGTAGCTTCATAAACAGTTATTTATGTCTTAAATGAACGTAAACAGTTGAGAAAGAAAGTGCATGTGTATCAGTAGGCTAAAGTGACAGCAGCCCAATATACCTGAGGCCGTCTGTCATTAATGTTAATCAAACAACAAGACGAGTAAGCTATGAGATTATTTTACTTAGGCTAGTATTAGAGCTGAACTCTGCAGGACAGTGGCCCTCCAGGAGCGGGACCCCTGATCCTGATTCTACATGCTGAAAATGACCAGACCATTTCTACTGAACGATTGCAGTCTGGGGGAACTATTGTACCTGGAGACTCACTGCGAGGCTCGTCTTTCTCTATAGGTGGAGGTGGCAGATCCGCTGGCGCTGCTCTGAATGGAGTCGGCATCGCTCCCATTTTAACCAGTCTGTTAGGAGGATCATCTCTGCCAACAGAAGACAGAAAACCAGTTACTCCTTCTGCACCGCTATTTGCAACATTTCTATTGAATGTGATTGTCAGTTCATTTGGAAAATAGTCAATCATGCTGTCAAATTAAGTTAATTTGTAAATAAAAAGGATATTTAGTTTTTTTTTTAAATCGGTTTTTATTTTTTTAATTAACGAGTAATTTAAACGAGTGAGAAAGGTTGACATGGAGCAGCTAAACCCGAAGCACAACCTAAACAAAGTTTTACTACACTGTATACCTTTAACGTCACACTGTTAGTTAATGCATTAACTAACTTTAAAAAACAAGCAATATATCCGTTACAGCATTTATTAATCTTTGTTAACTGTTTATTGTTAGTAGTCATATTAGTTCAGGTAGTAATTAATAATATGAAGAAATACAATTGATTTTAATAATGTTTTAGTTTTTTGAAATTGACATTAACTATGATTAATAAATGCTGTAGAACCTTGTTGTAAAGTGTTATTGTTTACTCTAACAATTCAGTTGTGACCAAGTATCGTTTGCAAAGATTAGTGTATGGTAGTGTATTACCTGTTTTTGTCTTGTAGCCTCTCATTCGAGGAGTGTGACGAGAGGTCGGAGTGATGGCTCCGCCGATCTTCCTGAGGAGAATATGAGCGGTACGACTCAATCTCGGAGATATCTGCAACACACAGATGATGTCATTATCACTGCAACTAGCTTCAGGCATCATTCGTGTTCGCATGATGGGTTATACACATCCCACTTATATTTAGGGATAAGGGTTCAAATCCCTAACCCTGTGCAAAAGAAAATAGGTTAATAATAAAAAAACAGATTTGCTTTCCTTCATTCTTACAGCTTACATTATTTGATCAAAAAACCAATACGGAGGATTTTCAGAAGAACATAAACAAACAACTTCCAAAACATGGGATGAGTCTCACTAGAGTTGATCAAATGACATTTTTCATAAGCTTTGGATTATGGGTAGCGTTTATGTAATCCTCCCAAAGTCAAAAGCCTTTCTCTCCAATCCAGTGTCATTACAGCAGTTAAAAAGTTAAGAGGTCAGAGGTCTCCAAGAGATTCAGGCAAGGCATTGCCATACCTCACGACATCAGACACAACACAAGGTAATTATATAAATGCAAACAAGAATTAATATGAATTATTTGGATTAAATCAATTAAACTGATGCAAGGATCTTAAGTATTGGTGCAATATAGTGAGTAAATTATATATTTTATTCCTGTATCAGCAGCCCTAATATAGGGTCTTGACCTTAAAAAAGAAAATAACAGGGCCGTACACAGATTTTTGTCCAATCAAATGCTCTGTATCTCCCCCCAATACCACCCAATTCATGGCTTTGAAGTAAAGGCTCCTGGCCCTTTGGTTTGAACAGGAAATACATCGATGGCAAAGAGAAATCTGCTCTTCAAGCCATTTTTAGAGGGCTTTGATTAAATCAGAAATGCTGTGACTGATTATCTGCTAATGTTGTTCTGTTCGGGTCTGTCGAGCCGCTCACCATCCATCTCGGAGTCGCTGTCTGCCATGGGTGGGACTCGGATGAGCACCTGACTGCGATCCCTCTGCACCATCAGCTGCAGCTTCCCACGAGACTTCTCGATCAGCTTTCCTGCGTCGCTCAGAGACAGATTCTCCGTGACCGTACCGTTAATCTGACACACCAAAACCAGTGTTAATGAATAACAAATGAAGCACTTCAAACTTAAGATCTTATGATAAACAGCTTCAAGTAAAAATCATACACTAAAAAAAGCTTGCCGACCCTTGCTGAATGTTAAAGAACTTTAGCAAGAACACATTAAACTGATTAAAAGCAACAGTAAAGACATTAATGTTGCAATGCATTTCTATTTCAATAGATTTTCATTTATATTATTCAAAGAATACATTAACCATCTGGTGCTGCTCAGTCATTTTTGACCTAAATATTTTACGTTTTATTTTGTTGGAATATTTTACTTCATCGGAATGGTAGCACGGAACTTGGTAAAGGTTTTAGCACTTGACGAATTTCATCTAGTCGAAACGTTTGGTACAGCGGACAACAAAAAGCATTTTTTGAGATATCAACGTCAAATTTAGGACACAAGCTTTGATTTTCTCACAATTTTAGAGTAAAATATGTTTTTGAAAATATATATTTCATATAAAAATGTAAAATTGTATGTTTGTGCATAATATATATTTTTTTAAGTTCACTTGAAAACTTTTTTTCACTTCAGCAATAATCTGCCAAACGTTGTGCTTCAAAGCATTCAAGATTAATGACCATTAAAGTTGGACATTTCATTTTCAGGTCCATGTTTAAAAAGTGAATAGATGGACTGCCTAAATATAAATTAGTACCATAAAATCCTCAAAAAAATATATAGTCAAATATAGTCAAACTCAAATATAGTACAATCATTTCACAGGAGAAAAAAAACAAAATATGAAGCAGATCGGAATCAGAAATGTTTCTTGATCATCATATCAGAATGCTTTCTGAAGGATCATGTGACACTGAAGACTGGAGTAATGATGCTGAAAACACAGCTTTGATCACAGGAATAAATGACATTTCAAAATACATTAAAATAGAAAACAGTTATTTTGAATTGTAATAATATTTCACATTATTACTGTTTTTACTGTATTTTGAATCAAATAAATGCAACCTTGGTGAGCATAAGAGACTTTTGGATGGTAGTGTATCATTTTTTCTTTTTTACATTTTCTGAAGAGAATTAGTAGTGCTTGCTAGAGCAAAACACATGAGACAAGGACAGCTGCAGGTCGTAATGGGTGAGCCGAAAGGGACACAAGAACATAAATAACTAACCCCTAACCCTACACCACACCCTAAAGACCGCATTTGCAAACAATAACTAATTAACCTATTACTCTGACCTGCAGATACCCCTCACTGGAAACACAAGGCATTCTGCGTGGTTGTTCCAGAGACCTACTTTCAGAATAATGTCGCCTTCTTGTAGTTTTCCTTCTCTGGATGCCAGGCCTGTGCTCGTCATCTCTTTGATGAACAACTGACTGCCAAGACGGAGGCCATATTCTGGACAAACAGATAGTTAAGAGGGTGAGCCGCAGGTAGAAATTGGAAAACAAACAGATAAATGAATCCGACGCGCATCTACCATCATTGGGCCGGTTCTTCAGAAGAGTAACACTGAGCGGCTTCTCCAAGGGTTGGTGTCGTTGAGGTGCGGGCGAGACATCCAGCTGGTCTCGACTGTTGCTCCTCTTCATGGGCTCGTCCTGCCGGTGCTCGTACCTCCTGCGCTCCTGGTCACTGGCTAGATTCTCTCTGCTGTATCCGCGGGCAGGTTCTGGCCTGTGTGTATCGGGACTGTGCGATCGGTCCAGCGTGCGGTCGCTGCGGTATCGTCTGTCTGGACTGTGCTCTCGGTCCAGCGCGTGTTCGCTGCGATAGCGCCGGTCTGGACTGTAGTTGCGGTCCAGCGTGCGATCGCTCCGGTGATGTCGGTCCGGGCTGTGGTCGCGATCCAGGTTGTGGTCGCTCCGGTGACGGAGATCGGGGCTGCGCTCGCGGTCCAGTATTCGGCCGCGGCTGCCGTCCCGTCTGTACGGTCTCTCGGGGCTCACGCCTCTCTCCATGCTCCTCCCGCGACTGCGCTCGTAGTCCCGCTCGCGCTCGCGCTCCAGGCTGGTGTCCCGGTCGGGGTAACTGCGCCCGCTGTAGACGCTGCGCCGGTCCTCGTAGTCATCGTTGTAGTCGCCGCTGAAAACACGGTCATCTGGGGACGGGGCACGTTTATGCACGTTGACGGGAATTTTTCTAGCTCTCTTTACCATCTGATGAAGGATGGGAACAGAAATGAAATATTCATGAAACCTTTGTTTTAACTGTCTACAAAAAAGTGCTTGGTCTTTATTGCAATCAAAATGACAAATAATTTATGTTTCACTCACGATTTTGGCTACTTTGCCACATTTGCGGAGCGTCTGCACTGCAAAGGTGTGTGGGGCACCGTCCATGACCACAGCGTTCACCTGCATCACTCTGTCATTTTCACTGTACATCATCATGAAATACTATTAGTCAACGCTCTTACACCTCAGAAACTGACCGACTACTTCAAATCCAACAGTTTAGCACTTTGGTGCTGACATTTAAGTCCATATTAACAATTGAACCATGAATTAAACATTTGAATAATTGTTTGTAGACAAAAATACAAATAAATTATAGGATTTTTATTTTTGTATTATTTTTTGAGTCTATTTATTAAGAACACTGAAAACTTTGTAAAATATTTTTCGAACATTGAGAAATATTTGATAGTTATTAATATTTAAAATTTCTATAATATGATGTGTCATTTAATGTATACATTTATATTTATATAAATATATTATTTATATATTTAACTTTTCAAATAAATTTAGTGTGTTCATTAGCATATTCGTTTTCACTGTCGAAACTGGTAGAGAATTTTTATTGGTATTACTACAAAAATGCTTTTCCACTTTAAGTAACACTTGAGGGCTTTTCACACGTGAACTAGTTAACCCTGGGTCATTTTTATCCATGGGTAAATGGAATCCTGGGTTATCTTGCTTCACGTTTCACACTGCTCATAATTGACCCGGAGTTAACAATTAATCCTGGGTATTCATAAACTGCTGTTTCATAATGTGCGTTCCAACCCTGGCTTTACGGCCTAATTTCCATATTTTCGGTGTCAGTGTCATTGATTGGACGAATGCTGCATGCGATATGCTTACATAAAAGGCTTTAGCGCTGCGCATCCTTTGATTATATATTGCTGACCGTACTATCAAGTTTATCCTGAATTAACTTTTTGGACTATAAAGGTAAGAATGAAACGGTCTCTTCATTTACAGTTGATGCGTTTTCTGTCACCATTTGACATTTTTCCGCTCAAACTCTGAAACGACTGTTAATACAATGTGCCGTGTTTCTGTGACTGTCCAAAGCATGTGAATATGAGGCACGTGATCGGCTGTCAGTTGCTAAGCATCTACATCGCTTCCACTTTCACACTGCACACGTTTGGCATAGCAATAACCCCAGGTGAAAAGAGGTGCAAACCCTGCTTCTAAATCAACAGTGTGAAACGTTCCTTTACAGAGGGTTAAAACAGGACTTATGATGATAACCCGGAGTTAAGCACCGTGTGAAAAGCCCTTATGGGACTACAAATCTTATCAAAGGTTGTGATGCTTTAAATATTGTTTAATAGCTTACAATAGCAAGCCATCAGCAGGACCCCCTTGCAGCACATCAGATACGACAATTGCCGTTTCTCCAGTTTCTTCGTTTGGGTTGTCCCGCCCTCCAGACACAGCAATGCCAAAGCCCATCTTGGAGTCCTATATCAAGGCAAAGTGTCCATTTTAAATTTCTTTGCTTCCATTCCTAGAAGCCCTTCATTTATTTACTATATTAAACACTTTAAATTCATGCAAATGAACAGGCAGCAATAACTATTTAATAAGATACCCGGAATTAAATTTATACAACAGTTATATTAAAACAAGTATATGTGCCATTCAGTTCACCAGGATGATGATGCAATGCGTCTTCTGCAGCAATGGCTGTATGCCACTGCACTCTTCTGTTACACAATAGATATAATGCTAGAGGTGCAGAAACTACACACTTGACATTAAAGTAATGTTGGGAATTGTTTGAATTTTATCGATTTCGATTCCAATTCTGCTTATCGATTCTGATTCTTATCGATTTATATTTTCGATTACAATAAGGTAAAAAAAAAAAAACTTAGAATAAATGTGAATGATATCTAAGTCTTTTTGCTAAATATGTTGGTGCCGCTGAATACCACAAACAAAAATCTTCAGGCTGAAGAACTCTTGGTTTTTAACAAAAATACTTATTACAAGTATAATACTAATACTAGCCTAACTATAGTAGGCCTATATTATATTAATATAATATTATATTATAGTATACTATATTATAATATAAATTTCAGTCAAGATCAGTGAGTGAATTTTCTCTTTGTCTTTTGTTGTTTGATAACGTTAATAATACAGATGGCAGCAGGACTATTAGGCTGCTGTCACTTTAAGACAATGCACAGATCCAATATACTGTTACACACAATATACAATATACTGTTACACACAATATACAATATACTGTTACACACAATATACAATATACTGTTACACACAATATACAATTTACTGTTACACACTTTCTCAACCGTTCATGCTCCCTTAAGAGAAAACCGACTGTTTATGAGGATATTCTGACATAATTTTGGGTGTATTTGTCCATCTAGAAATAAGTCTATAAATCTATAAGAGGAATAAAAAATAAATAAAATAATTTTATAACTAGTTTCCGATTCCTGACCTTACGTATTCAAATCCAGCATTGGAATTGATGTTTGATTCCCAACCCAACATTTAAGCAACAAAAAGCTCCTATAAATGCAGAAGAATGTAAAGCTTTTCAGTGAGAAACAAAAAGGCTAGAAGTTAGCATTCAGGAACAATCAGAAGAACTTAGTTGCTCTCCAGACAAACGTCCTGTGGGGTGAGGTACTCACCCGCTGTAGGGTCACAGTGTACTGCTCCCACACCGTCTCCTCCATGACTGGGTTCTGGAACAGAATGAACAGGCTTTACATGTAGGACAGTGATGGACAGAGTCAAGTTACAGCAGGTATCAGGGATATACTGAGCAAAATCTGCAGAGTGGTGCTGCCACAGTGAAAAACTATATGAGCACTTCTCTTCCAGCGCAACTACATGAGGTAATCTGAAGACTCAATGAACTGAGGGTCTGAACTCAACAGAAATGGAGAGATCTGCAAGAAATAAAAAAAATCAAGAAAAACTGACTATCATTGGGCTACATGCAGACTGCTGGGAAATATTTTTTTTTTACAAATGTATGGAATGACCCCTTTAAAATTAATAAGCCTACATTATTTGAAAGTAATTATTTTAAAAGGGAGCGTGGCCATTGAGTTAATCACTATAAATAAGGCCTTCAGCTTCAGTCCGAGCGCCACGTGACGTCCTCGCCGTGAAGCACCTCTAGTTACCTCTTCATCCAGCCGTGCGCACACTGGGTGATTATGATTGTTGCTCTTTAATCTCCTCAGCAAATATGAATCCCAGTATTGCCCTAAATAACTCTCAACTCACAATCCACATCTGATGCCTTTTAGCATTTAATGTATAAATGATTTCAACTTCTAGTATTTTCATGCTAGAGAATCTAAAACGACATTATTGCACAAGTTAAATCAAACTAAATTTAAAAGCTAAACACTTCGAAGCCAATGACGTCTTCAAAATACATGTTTGCACCTCATTCATCATGCAATTTCTATGGGTGCTGCTAAACGGCGGAAGTCACAAAATAACAAACACTTAGCTCATTAATATTTTGAGGTTTTGCTCAAATAATTCAACATGATCTTTAACCATTTTGATATGGCTAAAATCCAATTAAACAACAACTTCAACATTTTACGGTCTCATTGATATCCTCATTGCTGACCAATTCAAGGGCTCAAATGATCTTTAGCATTTTTAAGTCAGTCGATTGAATGTCAAGGTTTAGAGGTAAAGTTTTTAGTTTGAAAGCAAGGGATTTTTGGTTAGATACTGCTCTACTTTTTTATGCATGGTTTTAAGTAAGCTTTTAGTAAGCTTTTCTTAAATAAAATAAAAATTGCATCTGTACATCAGTGAATTAATGGAAGTGTGGGGACATGTTTGTTTGCATTTCATCATGTGATATAACTAGAAATAATAGTGAAGTATGGATAACAGAGTGGAGTGTGCGAGCTGTGTGCATGGAAGAAAATTACTAACAACCATAAACAAACATAAATTCCAGCAATGGAACAACACTTGTTTTAGTACACATGAACAAAATGAAAAATCCTGTTCAAAAATGAAAGATTTTTTCACAGAATTTGATACATTTTGCTGTGAAATATTTCACAAAGTGGTGGGGACAAAATCAGCCTTGGCAAAAAGTTACCGGTCCACACTGTATACTATCAATAAGAACGTAGCAATATCACATTGAATAGGCGAAAGCACCTTGAAAGCATTTGTAAAATAAACAGTTGCTTAAGTGTTTAACCACTATCATAACAGTAAACCACTGATTCTTCTAGTTCTCTGAATAGGAAACACCCGTTACATTTATACATCTACCCAGAAAACAAACTAGCCTATAACACAATCTATTTTCCTTACCACCACAAATTACAGTGAGATAAACTTCGAACCCATTCCTAAACCTTGGTTATCAACCTCAAAGCAAGTTCTACATCAAAGTATGAAATGCATCAGTGCATGTAATGCAATTACCATCATAATAATAACCAACATTTTGCAATTTTCAGTTGTAAAAATTCACCACTATAGTAAAAAGCCGTGTTTTACCATATTTTTCTCCACAAAAAGCAAGAACATTGTTACTCTGAAGTATACCATTGGTGGTGGTTGAGGAGACCCCCCCCCCCCCCCCATGTAAAACGCTTTGAGTGCCGAGAAAAGCGCCATATAAATGTAATGAATTATTATTATTATTATTATACTTATACCATTACTTATACCACTACTAAATACTATGCCATTACATTTAAAATCTAAAAGTCAACCTCGAATGGTCCTAGCCAGATAAACAAACACAAACAAACCAAATTAAAAAGTTGCACTCCAGCCGAGCCGTCTAAGACAGATGAAGTTGTACAGGCGAGGGAACTGAAAGAGTTCTTACGATGCCCTGGAGGATGCGGATGGCCTTGATGGTGTGAGCCCATTTCCTGTGCAGCGACAGGACCGTCTTCATGTTGTCGCCTGTCCCGTGAACACAATGTCTCTGGGCCAAAGCGAATCACCCCTCAGCAGCACAATGCATCTGTCCGCCTTTGACGTAAGACTGATGCCCGCTGGCCTACATTCAGTGCAAATCCCACTGTCCACAGCGACCAACGGCAGCCACGACGCAAAAAAGCGGGACAGCTGAGAAGCTGTCTACTGCTAAGGTATTAAATTAAAATTGCATTTAAATTCATCAAATGATACAGCTCTATCTGGGTTGACATTAAAAGCTTTGCCTGGCTTACGAAAAGAAAGAAGCACCTTCGGCACCACCATGATTATGGGGTGGGATTTTTTTCTGCAAGAACGTGCAGGACAAGCGGGACTGGTAGATTAGCAGTGATCCCATCACTTTAATTACAATTTAGGGATCAATTTAAAAGGATAATGGGGTTTGGAGCACCTAAGCAGTGTTATTTTCTAAGAGCAAAGCTGTAATTGAACACCATACACACTATAATAGTGCTATATTAGTAAATTGCGTGGTACTACATGTCATAAATGTTCTTTGATCTATAAATGGCTTTCCAACTCAGCCTCAAATCTTATCCAAGAAAGGATTAACATGTGGCATATGAGCTGCCCTCAATTCTTTCTTTTTTTGCTAACCAGAACAGATTACTGAAGAATGATGTGAAAGAACTGATTTCTCACTGTAAGTGAGCTTGTAGCGTTGTGTTGTCCAGCAGCAGGTCTACGAGCTCGCGCTCAGTCCAACACCACATCAGACTGACTGAGGTAACCGGACTCAGTGTGGTTTCCTACGCTCTTCAATAATGGGATCAGAAACTCTCCATCAATGTCTTTCAAATATAAACTGGACAAGACCTAGATCTCACTATCAACTGCCTTTAAAAAGAGAACCAGCTAAAAAGTTTGGAGAAAAAATGCAATTCATTTTTCTATTGTTCTTAAAGCAGCACTAGGTTACTTTTCAACCTTCATAATATATTTCCAAGTCTCTTGTGATGGTACATCGACTTACAATAGGTTGATTGACACGTCTGCCATAGCCTGACGGGGTCTGTAGCGTTTTTAATCGTACTTTTAAACTTCGGGTTTCGGGTAGTAACCGGCGAACAAAGAGTACTACAAAATTCGACTGCTTTACGGCATATATACGTCACTTCCACCACCCTTAAAATCAGACGTGCGAGCCAAATGTTATAGTCGTGGCCGAAGCAGCACAGAAAAACAAGAAAGCAAAGGTTTTATCGGAGCAAAGCAAAAAGAGAAAAAGAGAGTGTGATCGCGTTAAAGGCAGAACGAGGATCAACATTGGTGGAGGGGTGCCCGACCGATGCGGACTTGGCAAAAAAATCAAAAAAAAAAATCAAATGAAAGCCTGTCTAAATGGCGTGCACAAGTTTGGTAGGGGCTACATTCTTGCAAGTAAATATATAAGATGTACAAAATCATATTTTGGTACTTGGTACTTTAAAACACTGTTCAAAAACTTGGGGTCAGAGGGACTTTATATTTTTGAAAAAAGTTACATAATGCTCACCAAGGATGCAATATACACGAAAAATACACTAAAACAGTAATATTGTGAAATACTACAATTTAAAATGTTTTTGGTAACACTATTTTAATGGTCCCCACTAGACAATCTACTGACTCCAGTCTTCAGTGTCACATGATCCTTCAGAAATCACTCTGATATGATGATTTGATGCTCAAGAAACATTTCTGATTGTTATCAGTGTTGAAAACAGTTGTGCTGCTTCATATTTTCTTAGAAACCATGATACATTTTTTTTTTTAAGATTCTTCAATGAACAGAAAGTTAAAAAGAACAGCATTTATTTGACATAAATATCTATTGTAACATTATTAAAGTATTTACGGTCACCTTTGATTAATGCATCCTTGCTGTATAAATGTATTCATTTCTTTTAAAAACAACTTGTAGAGATACGGTCTCGTAACATTATGATCAATCCACTAAGTTATGATATCTTCACTTCTCTTTAAGCAAACACTTGAAACAATTTGAAAAGCAAAAACTTAAAACTTTCACATTATAAAATACATTGCATTAAATAAATTAGATAGGATTGCAGAATGGAATAATGATACTGGAATCAAAAAATTCTCATCAACAAAAAAACCTATAAAGTCCATAAGTTGTTTTTTTTAAAGTGTAAATATTGGTAAATTAAAACCAAAATATTAAAACCTCTCAATATATATATATATATATAAAAAAAAATGTAGACATGCACAAGTTTCCATCTACTGCTTTGACACTAACAAGTTTTCTCCAAGCCACAGAAATACCAAAGTCAGCCAGTGTGAACTTAAAATGAAAGCACTGCAATTTCCAATCAAAAACCAGCTCATGTTTTTGTGACCAATGAGCATTTCAGCAGATTTTTAGAAAAGGTCAGCAGAACAAGGAAAAAGAAATGATTACATCTAAAAAACAAACTGTGAACCTGCCCAGAACAGACCATCTTCCAAAACTGACCATGCAACAAAACAAGTGTGTGACTGTTCTGCAGGACGAGCCACGAGACAACCTTAAACAAATCTGACATGTGCAGAAAGATGACAAGAAGATACTCACAACTCCCCTCAAAACATGTGAAAGTCAACAATTTGGAGGAACATTACTTAGTCTTATGACACTAAAAAAATTTATCTGTGAGCTGTGATACTATACACTGTCTGGCGCAAACAAAACACGGCATATTACACACTGGTGGTAAACCACCTCTACAGAGTAGTGTAACGGTGACAGAATCACACCGCCAGGACGTTACTGGGCAGCAAGAAAAAACAACAACAAGACAGGAGGACAAAAGCCAAAATCTTCAAAAGCATTTTCAGTTCAATCAAGCGGGGTATAACAGTTGTGAGCCATCAGAAAGCATACTGAAGGGAATATGCTGTTGTTCTGCTGTGAGACAGAACAGGCACAATGTGCAGACAGAAGTCCCTCTGCATTATAGATAAGCAGCTTTAGCTGTCTGTCTGTGTCCCTTCAAAAGAGCTGAAATCAGTGAACGACAGCTTTCAGTCCAAGTTTCTACTGAAATATAAAAAGTCTAATTTCAGACGATGCATAACAGACACGTGATGAGCGTTACATAAATAGCAGAAATCCAATCCAGGTGTGGGTACAGCAAGTGTAAATATGGAAGGAATTTCTTTTAAGCTTTTTTGGGCAATTTTCTTTTCAGTTTGGTGTAAATAAGTAAGACTAACTAACAAGAAAATGACCTAAAATTTATTTCAGACCCAAATTAACAAAACAATTAACAACTAGTCTATAATTCCATATTTTGAAGCGTTGCAGATTGCGAGATTATGATGCTAATGTAAAACTGGTGTGGTTGTCCCTCTGCTGGTGACAATTTAAAAATGTCTCAATTCATTTTATTCTACATATTAAATAAAATGAATGATTATGAGTATATACAACATTAAATAATTCATAAAACACAACACTCTGGGGTTACATGAGAAGCATGTTCCCTAAAGCTTATTCAAAAACAACAAACAAAATATTAATTTAACTAGTCCTTGACTTGATTAATGTTGAACTAATAAAAACGGTGGTAGTACTTTAAATTATTTAACGAAAAACAAATTATTTGTCCATTTAATTTATTTGATAATATCTTTTATTCGTTAAGTGTCGCTTGTGCCGTCATAATTCTGATTCATAGACTTGTATAAATACTGCTGTACTCTACACAAACTGATGACACATTTGATCGTGTTAACGTTACACTGGCGTTAAGTACATTATGGTCATCGCTAATGCATTGCTGAAGGAAGTAGGTGGATACAGTAACACGAGCAACTGTCTTAACTCAGCGAAAGACTGAGTTTAAAACCTCTGTGAAATTAAAATAAGCGAGCTGAAGAAGTTTTAATAGTACTCACATGATAATAGTCCATAACCTTTCTGCTCAGAAAGAGCCGCCTCTCCATAACAACGGGCATCTCGTAAACTGCACTGATGCTAAACTCTGTTTACTTAAAAGAATGAGTTTAAAGTACCATGGGCTGTGAATAAAACAAAGGTAATAACACGGAAACCTCTGAATAGCGACAACACGGGCGCCTAAAACATTCAAACTATTGTACTGTAAATCCCGACCGTACCAATAAATCACGGCTGGGGGGCGGTAATGATAGCCAGCGTATTTTAACCTCTAATGAATATGCGACTATTTTCTATTTCTTCACATTACATTAGCTTTATCCTGCCGTGCTTACACGTGTTTTGAGGAATTAAGCAACGAGAAATGCTGCATTTCTTTCATTGCGTGCCAGACGAGGTAAAATGGACGGTTCCAAAATCCCTTATCTATCGACTGTATTGGCTTTGCTCATGAATATCAATTAGGCCGTGCTGGCATTGCTTAGCAACCGCTTCCAAACACGTAATGTACGTATTCAAAGTCAAGTCTTCCCCACGTTACTATTTGCTTTGAGATGATCTAACCAAATGGCTAAAACGTTTGGAATTCCAAACTTCCCAAAATCCTACTCGGACGGGATTAGTTTTACATGGAGATGTAGTGTAAGGTAATCATTACCAAAGCCTTCCGGCGATTTTAGTCTTGGCCGAATCGTAATTTACGGAAAGCGCGTTCACGTGGCGCTGGCGGTAAAGATTATAGAGTAATTTGCTTAGTATAAAGTTATAGTTGTTCTTCCGTGCCATTAACGACAAACTTCCATGAATAAAAAGTGTTTTTCTAATTTGCAGTCTCTGAAATGGATTCATGAAAATAAAAAGAGCCAACGCACAATTTATTAAGAAAGATTATGGCTTTCCTAATGTACATTCAAGCACATAATTATGATAATGTAAAAATAACTGGAGCCAAGTGGGAGAACCCGAGGTTTATATTTTCGCTATCAAAAGGCTGTGACTGTTAATATGTAACATCTTTGCATTAAAAAGAGTGACCACACTAGACAAAAATGTACCATAGTATTACCATACAAAGTACTGCATTCAGTGCAATGCTGCAATTTAAATTACTTTAAAATCACCATGAAATAAAAATGGACAATTCTTATTTTTATGGAATATCAGTATTTATTATAAATGATTTATCTGTGCACATCATTAAAAAAAAAAAAAAAATTATTCATGTGCCCTCATAATCTTTAATCAAAATAACTTCCCCTCCCTCTTGCAGCATCTCTTCTCTGGCACAAGGGCGGGACAATAACCTGCTACATGAGATCCACCAATAGCAAACAACAACCATCCAATCATATCCCCACGGACAAAATCAAGTCCCACCCTACATTTTTTTTCCAGCGCCATGATAAATCAGGTCCTCTCTCGAAATCGGGTAAGCTAGTACATAAGCTTACTAATACAGACATTAATCCTCATTATAACGTATAGTTCAAACAGCATTTATCATAACATGATTTTGTAGTACTTGTAATCAGGCGCTAAAGAGTACCTATTAAAAGTAATTTGAGCCAATGGGATCGCTTGGGGTCCTAACAGAGAGGAGGGCCTGATTAGTCACCACACCTGTCCGACAAGCCGTTTCACTCCGATATACCAGTCACAATAGAGAAGAAAAGACTATCACAACCTTTACATAAATATGGTAATCACACACCCATTTAAAAGAAATGCGTGAAATCAAAATGTATGCATTTAATATTTGTAAAACAAGGTTATGGGCTCCAATCATTAGCATTCAAAAGTCAATAATATAACTTTTCTACAAACACTGGAAAAAATGAAACCTTGTTTCTGCATATTGTATGTGACGGGGAGGATATGCTTGAGTAATCTTGTCAAGCACAACAAATTAGAAATGTCAAATTAGACATTTAATAGCAGATTTGTGTTTGGTGCAACTTTCTGAATGAATATAAAATACATGAACACAGGAAAGATAAAGTCTTAAAGTCAGCATGAAACTGAAGTTGCGATAGCCTTTTCTTTCCTAGTGAAACAGCTTCAGTGTTTTGATCAGCAAATTTCGGACATGCGTGTTTTGTCCGTCATTAGAACAAGCAGAGACGCTCCAAACTGAGTGCAGCACTTCATTCACGATATGAGGACTTCATGACAGAGCCAGTGGAGCTACAAGGTTTAGTCACAAACTCTTTTTAATCATTTTCATTGGTCAAATATTTGCAAAACCCACAGATGTAAAGGGTGACCAAAAGCTATGATTTATGAAAAAAATAAAAGTGATTAAATATGGATATGAGGTTTCCGCCTGACAGCAACATTATATACATTAAGTATTTTTAACAGTGTTGTTCAATAAAACCATATGATTACTTGCTTTTGAACCAATTATTATTGCCTAATTGTTGTTATATATGTATTTTAAAGTCCCCCTGTGGTGAAAATCAAGTTTTTAAATGTTGTTTATATGTTTATGTGGTGTTTTTAATATGCTTTAAGACAAACCATGTGTAAATTCATAAGTCGACAGACTCGACAGCATTGCTGAGTATTTCCTCCTTAAAACTGCAGTGAATCAAAGACAGTCTCAAAAACACGGTTTGAAATCGCTGGTGTTTCTGACGTCACAAACGACCTTGTAACCAATCAGGTCAAAGTGTGATCGTCAACCAGTGGAACTCTGAGCTGGAGTGAGTGAGTGGAGGCGGGGCTCATTTGCATATTCATAGAACCGCGTATACTAAATGAGACAAGGGTGTAGAGTTACATTCAAGCTATTTTAAGGCATGAAGAATGTCATAAATATGTCATTTTGGTGATCAACGATTTTTAAGGGATATAATTATTGACTACAGGGGGAAGAAGTAATTTTAAAAGCTATTGCTCACTTACGGTAGATCTGTTTTTATTACCACAAAAAATATGATCCGATTACCGATTAAACTTATTGATCGATTATGCAGTTACCAAAATAATCATTAGTGACAGCCCTAATTGCAATGTTTACATGAGGAACGTTTGTAAAGTGCAATACCTGTAAAAGGGCTGGGTAGCTCGGAGCAGAGAGGCGTCGCAGACACAAATATTGAGCTTCGTAGGGCAAGGAAATCCTTTTCCTGTTGGAGCGGCTTGATCGGAATAACTCTATTTGGTTCGACTGGTCACTGTAACAAGACATTTTGTTTGGTTAATAACACTGATCAAACACTCTGAAAGTCAACAACAAATATTTATTGTGAAATTAGCTACATCTAAGCAGAATTTTAAATAGTACTACTATTTTGCTCACACAGTCTGAGTCCTAGTCTCACAACCACAATAATGCAGCAGAAAAAAAAATGTAAAGTACTTATTTGAAAGTTAATCTGGTTGATCTGTTAATAGCTAAAACATGTTTACTAAATGTTAGTGTGTGTGCATGTAAAGAAAATGTCTAACCCTGCAAAGCCTGACAAGAAAATACACAGCCTAGCTTAACAAAAGTGCTATGAGTACATAAAGAGGCTGTGTTATAATTCACAAAACATGTCAAAAGTATTGCAAGTATTGCACCTGCTCTGAATGTAGTACACTTGATCTCCTTGGCAAGATATGTGTAATTATAACAGCACTTTTCGGCATGACTGCTCAAACGTGTTCATGAGATCTTTGCCAGCAAAGTAGCCTGGAGTAATAGACTAACTATTGTTGCAGTAATGAGTCCTCAGGATCAAGGGACTGGTTTAGCTAATAGCTTCTTAAATGTTTAAAAGATAACTAGATTTCTGAATTACATTGCCTGACCAAACTTGCCACAGATGTTTGACTTGGCTTGACAGCTTTTCATTGATTTATCACAACTCTTTGACAGTCTTGAGCTTACATCTGTCAGAGGGACACACAAAAAAAACAGTGTCCCAATTTAAACCAAAATCCAAGTAAAATGACTGGTTTAAGTTTTTTAGTGAGTGTTTTGCATGTTTGGTGGGCCGATACTGCGCTTGTGTACTCGTACTCGTTAAAATGCTCTGATCCCAACAACAGATACTAGGCAGCATGTGTACAGTACAGGGCTTAAGACAAAGAAACACCAACAGCAGCGCAAACAGAGAGCAGAACGGATATATCAGAGAGAAGGATGCCTATGAAGTAAATGTATCGAATGAATAGAAGTTTGTTGTTCGGGCACATATGGCAATAGCAAAGAAAGTAACATGAGGAGAATATTACTAACGTAAACTGATGATAAAGAGAGAGGGAGAGAGAGAGCTCTTTATTGCTGATCGTTTACTTAGCACACATGAGTCATTTGAATTGAAACTCAATCATATATGTGCAAGTAAAAACATGACCAGTTATGTGATTTATGTATAACGAGTGGTTGCCTACATTACAGGAAAGTGGTCCAGTAATCCCGGCATTTTCAAAAAGTTTTCTGTGCGCAAACATCCGAAGCATGCGCCTAGAAAGCTGCCTCTCAGACTGCGCGCGCATAGCCTATTAAATCTTCTCTTTCATGTCTTGTGCTTAAACTGACAAATTCACACAAAATTATGTCTAAATGCTCGTATAGGCAAGTATCCTTGTGAAACAGTCGGTTATGTCTTAAGTGAATGTAAACAGTTGAAAAGAAATCCCCGTGTAACAGTACGTTGGACACGTGCAGCTCTTAAAGTGACAGCAGCCTAATCAACTCGTCTTAGATAAGAGAATAACAGTTTAATATGAAAAAACGGTGGAGTATCCCTTTAAAGTGACAGCAGCCTAATAAACTAAACCTGCTGCTGTATGCTGTCCTCAATGTTAATCTAACAACAAAAGACCGAGACTGGTTGAGCCCTGCAGGAACAGCTCTAAATATTCACTGTGCTATTAAATTAAAGATAAAATATGATAGAGCAATAATATGAACAGTGAAAGTAACAGTAGGTCCTACAATACATTTTAACAGGCATAATTAGGCATGAAAATAACTGGGGAAAAAATTGCTGAGCCAACTAATTTGATTCATATTCTTTTGGTTTATCTGCCCAATGTTTGTACAAATTAAAAATGCAATGAAAATACAGGTATCTGTACTTAGTTTCTGAAAGTACTAAAAATAAAATTATCGTATTGGAAAAAAGTGGTATCGGTGCATCCCTCCCTACTAATTATAATATGATCATGTATTACGATGTATTGAACCGTGACTCAAGTTCAGTCATAAGAAATAGCCCACCTCTTCTCGATCAGTTAAACCTCATTTGCCAATCATTAGGGATGCACCGATAATTGAAGTACAGTATCACTCATATCCGTAGCATAAATGGTGCGAGGAGAGTGTTAAGTTTAATACTTTGGTTAAGGGTTTAATAAGCACCACCCATAAGTCAGTGTTGAGCAAAACGGATTTGCTCAGTTACTACTGAACAACACAAATACTAGGCTATTCAGAGTCATCATTCGCGGAGAATTGGCACACAGAGCTGCTATGATGGTACAGAACGAGCCACAACTCAAACACATCCGATCATTAACACCACTTTACCAGCTACGCCTGCCATCAAACTGTCTTCTTCCGATAGCATCTTCCACATAACTCACCCCGAGGGTCTCCATAACCTCCGGCCGGGGGGCAACAGCTCCCGCTTGTTGAGAGGCGCGACCCCGATGGCCGCTTGCATGATGGTGATGAATTTCTTGTACTTCATTTTCTCTGGTTCTTCTCAGTTCCTTCGATCTAGAGAGGCTCTCAGCAACATCTAACCTCTTGGTTCACCAACGATAACGTCACTACATCACTGACAAAGCTGCGTGTAATCTCAATCAAACCAGTAAAGAGTCATTCTGTCTAACAGACCCATCGTTGCACACACTATCTGCATTACGGAGTCTCTCTTGGTCTGTGGAATCTCATGGATGCCCATTTCGTTCTCCTCGTAGGATAAGAGAGGGGAAAAGAGAGAGAATACGACAACCACGTTGGGCAGGCTGGCAGAGCGTCACTATTACATAATTCTGGAGATCTCAAACATTAGTCTAATGAAAACGCTGTGAGGGGGGATAATTGTGGTACTAAGCCGTGACAGATCATGGATGGACCCTGGCCCGTTGCTCTGTAATCCCTCAGGCGCTGCTGGTTTAGCTTCCACCCATTATCACCCATCCACCAACACACGCACGCATGTACATATGTTCAAGATTTGTCCATTCGTAAACAGATCACCCCAGAGAAGATTTTCACCAGGTTGGAGGGACGGAGTAACCGGGCTTCTCCTCCATCCAGTGTGCGATGGCATTATCATCCAAGTGTTTTGAACAGTGGATTATGGGTAGGAGGAGATTGCGCTGCCAAAGTGCCGGGGCTCTAAAATCCCCTCCACACTCCCAACTCTTTCAAATCACATAAAGCCCCGATAATGAAACCGTCTATTTTTAGGTTTGGTTACAAACATACGTTCTGTTTGAACATGGCAGACTAGCAGCACATGAAAGTAAGATTGCTTTAACCAAAAAGCCACTGCAAATTCAATTCTAAATCTGTAATCTAAAAACATAATTCGAAATATTAAAAATATTAGAGATGCACTGCAATTTTGGCCACCGAAAAATTTCAGTCCGAAACGATTTTGAAAGGCCAAAATCAGTGACCAAAACACGTTTAATTGGCACTTCTCCAATGGCATGTTTTGACTGTGTTCGGCGTCTGTTTCGTGCACAAAACACAACAGTTAAACAGCTCTAGCTCTAGATTGACAATATTAATTTCTCGATTTTAATCTGTAATGATATGGTTTCTTAAATCTAAAATATTTTAGTCTCAAATGTTTTAGTGCTGTTTTCTGTTGATGCTTGAACAAAACCTCACTCAACGTTGGCCTGCCATCCAATAATCGCAATGAGCTTTGTTACTTTTAATATGAAGCAAAGTCTCAACTTTAAAATTCTTTCAATTTATTATGAAATTCAATCAATAAATGTCGTTTTGGCGCTCTTTAATAAGCCGTGACGAATCGCTGTAGCGTCTCAGTTCAAGCGCACCTGAACCGATCATCTCATCCCCTCTTTAGTTACAACACCAAATAAACATGCGTGAACACCAGCAGGTATCTTAAAGATACATTACAATTACTGGAATGAATCCTTTCTCATGTAATCGCTCAATCAGTGTTTCAACCGGGGAAAGGTGTCAATAAAACAGATTGTAGGCTACACAATTCACCTCAAATTCAAGAAAGCTATTCAATGTAGGCTACATAAACTCAGTTAGCTAGAAAGATAACTTTAGAGAAGAGCATAATTCTTAATATATGGACTGTAGGCTATCACATATTCATTATAATTTTACTTGAACTGTTAGTGAGGTCTTCATTATTTAATGTATATTTGAATTACAGTTTATTGTCATTAAAATGTTTTTATTTCACCAACAAACTGGAATGGAAACAATTCTGTTATTAAAAGGTTAATAAAAATGTAAAAGGTGTTGCGAATTAGCCTTGGCTATAAACACTGTGATACAGGCATCGGATTGTTCTTTATGTACTAAATACTAATCTATGTTTTTTTTTTTATCTGTCCCTATTCAAATAAACAATAAATAAATAAAATAAATAAATAAATAAATAAAAACTGCCCTATGTGCAATTTAAAAAGTTTGTACAACTCAGTTAGATATTTGAGTGTTGATTATTAAATAAGTTTGAATGATTAATTGAATTTTTAATTTATTATTTTATTTTTGGTTTTCGGCCCAAGGGCATCCTGAATTTTCGGTCTCGGGTTTGGCCCAGAATTTTAATTTCGGTGCATCCCTAATTAGCCTAATATTTAGTAATATTGTTAATAAATTCATCTTTTATTCAAGAAATGAATAAAATGTATTAACTTGCAAGTCACAAGTCAAGTAGACAAGAAGGTTGCAGAACTGCCCTAATTCAAGGTTTCATATCTTCTCAAATATTAGGATAATATTTGGATAGCATTTTTGAAAGGAACGGTACTTCTCTATGAATAAAGAAAAAAATATTAAGATAATATGTGTGGTGATTATAGTGAGTATTGATCAATATATGGATGTAGACCAGTTAGCCATTTAACAGAAGTGTTGATGGCTTCGAAATCTAAAGATATCCTTTTCATGGATTTTCTGTATATATTTTTGTAAAATATTTTTTTATATTTTGTGATTTTACACATAAATATGTAGTGTTAATTTAATTAAAATCATTTAAATGAATTTTTATGTATTTTCTGTATTATCTCAGTAAGGTGTGATCATAAAACAAGTTCCCACATGTAAATGCTATCTGAAGATTTATTTGGTAAACCAATAAAAAGTATAATAGCAATTTATCAAAGAAAGTCTAAGTCTAAGCACCTTTCAATATCAACAAAAAAACCGCCGGCTGAATAACTATATTCACCATTACATGCTGAAACCTGTTGCTGAACCTCACTCACACAGACATGTCTCCACACAGTCACAGAACAACCACTCCCATTATACTCACATTACACACCATAACAGCTAAACTGTACAACTGCAACTACTTCTACACCACAGCAGTTTAAGAGAACCATTTAACCACGGTCATAACCCACTGAGGGGGACAAGACATATTAGAATAGAAATGGCCAAATATCTGATCATCTTGAAGCTGCTCCTCTGCACTCCATTACGCACCGCTCTCGGTTTGTTGTTAGCATTTTTAGACTGGTCTGCCTTAGCGCTCTAGCGCTCGTCAATGTCAAAATTATTGAGATGACCAATCAAATCAAAGGTGGCAGGGCAACTGTTCACTGAAGACGAGTGTGATTTCCAACACGATGCGATTTAGAAAATAGAAGAGTACATAGTAAGATTGTAAATAGCAGAACATTTAATACTTGACAGCTGTTTTTCCCATAGAAATGTTCAGCGATCAACAGTAATATCCAGTGATGCAAAGAACTCATGAAATATGAAAATATGGTATCATTTACATAAGGGGTTTTCAAACCTGTCCTGGAGGACCTCGAGCCCTGCACGTTTTGTACGGGTGTGTTAGATATGGGAGACACAAATGTGAAGGGATGGGGGTGCTGCGTTTAACTCCACTTTTAGGGTACGTTTACGTGACAATGATGTCCTAAACACGGAAAAGTTTTTCCTTTGCATTTTTCACGTACAGATGACAACGTCGTCATGTCAAAGCGATCCCTGTTCACACGGATCCACGAAAACGACAAAAAGCGCTGTATTATTCATGCCAGGCCAGTAGATGGCGATGTCACTTTGTAAAGAAACACTGCGTGCCTATAGACTGAACATGTAACACGCATGTGCGTGACGTCACCGTTTTCACAAATTCACGTTTTTGTAATTTACATGGAGACGATAACGTTGTCGTTTTCAAAATCTTGCTCATTGAAATCGGTTTTCACATTTTTTTTAATATTTTGCAATTTAGCAAATCTGACTTTTTCCTCAAAATTGAGATATAAACTCTTCTGTGATGGAAACAAGCGTCCACGCTCAAACACTTCAGTACAGTTCTACTTTGTACACTTCAGGCAGATTCATAGACCACAATACAACACGATTGTGATGTAGACTGTGCTTATTTACCCCCACCCCACACAACTCTAGTGTAAGATATTGGAGTTATTTGGACATTTAATACTTAATACTTAAACAAACAGTTTTTTACACAGTTATAATTTAATGTATTATCATTTTCGTTGTGTCATTTTTATTTTCTCCAACAGTCCAAACCTATACCTATATGCGCAAAACAAACTGTAAATAATAAATCAGCTTCATAGCAGATTGAAGTGATCAAGGGTTTGGTTCTATTAAAACACATTGCAAGGTTTCTGCCAGTAGTGGGCACTCGTGCAACTTGAGCAATAGCCGCATTTCCACCGAAATTACCCAGAACAATTTGTCCCAGGAACTTTTCTTGGGACAATTCCCGCCAGACCTGTTGCTGTCTGCGTTTACACCAGGGATGGAAATTAGCACCCGCCACCAGCCAAATGCGGGTGATTTTGTGTTGTGGCGGGTAAACTCGCTTCACCTACCGGCCACCGTGGCGGGTAAATAAAAATAGCATACTGTTTCACCCGGACGGCGGACACTTTTAGAAGAGGCACACCTTCAAACAAAAATGTGGCGTTACATCGCAGGCGTAGAGGTCTGCAGAGAAAACATCATGGTGCGTTCACACCAGACGAGAATAGAGCGTCTGGCGCGAGTGATTTCATTGTTAAGTCAATGCAAAGACGCGTTACGCGCGTAAAAAATTCCTGCGGTGCGAATGAGGTGTAGAGCGCGCCGTGGTAGATGCGAATACGCCTCATTCGCGCGGCAAGTTCGAGCGTCTGACGCGTTCCGCGCGCATGATTTTATTGAGTGCTTTTGTGCATTCACGCGTTTGACGCGAATTCGCGTCTGCCGCCCGAGTTGAAAAATCTGAACTTTGGCGTCAATTCGCGCCGCGTTAACCAATCAGGAGCCTAGCTGCTGTCACGTGGTGAAGTATCTGGATGCTTCAATAAATTATTTTGTACTAAATGCCTGATGTGGTTCTAATGCACAAGAAAGCAAATATTTTATCACATAAAACTTGATTTCAATATATGAGACATATTCATTTTGTATTGAATGCTATTTATTCCATTTCATATCTAGATTATATTAAATATTATTCTAATGTAAAGGCAACCAACATACTATAGCTCATAAATCCGTGTCTGGAGAGTGTTGTGTGAGAGAAAAAAAAAATCACAGGACAGGTTAATTACTTTTGGAGGCTGGCTCAAATTATCATCAAAACAAAAATAAATGACAGATTAGGTGGATGAGGCCGAGGGTGAGAGAAAGAGGAAATGTCAGTATTTCATTGAGACTTGAGATTAAATAAACTGCTTAAGTATTCTTGTAGTATTAATTTT